CTGGAAACACTAACCGCTTCACAGGTAAGCTTCTGACTGTATTTTTTTAGTTGTTGATAGGCCTTTATAATTTTATTTATTTATATGTGGTGCTGAGAATCAAACCCAGTGCCTCACATATGCCAGGCAAGTGCACTACTGCCCAGCCACTGCCCCAGCCCAATTACTTCATTGATTTTTTTTTTTTTAATATTTATTTTTTAGTTGAAGTTGGACACAGTATCTTATTTATTTATATGTGGTGCTGAGGATCGAACCCAGGGCTTCACACTTGCTAGGCAAATGCTCTACCGCTGAGCCACAACCCAAGCCCACTTCATTGCTTTTAAGTACAACAAATAAAAAACTAAATGAAGTGTTCTTCTGTTTGTAGATCCTGCAAAGCAGTGAATAATCTGTTTTTCAGATTTATACAAATCATACATTTTCACAATTTACCCAAATTTTAGTGATTTTTCTAAAAACTAAGAAGGATCTACTGAATACTACTTGGTATTAGAAGAATAATTGCTACTTCCATTGCAGTAGGCTTCCATTGCAAGATAAACACACTGAATGTAGATACATAAACAAACTGATACCCACAGGCTTTCTAATTAACCATTGTAAGAAAAAAAATATATACATATATACATATATACACACACTTTTTTTTTTTGTATTGGGTATTGAACCCAGGAGTACTTTACTGCTGAGCTACATCCTCAGCTCTTTTTATTTTTTTTAATTTGAGACAGTCTCTCTGCTAAATTGTGGAGTCTGACCTCAAGCTTTTGATGGCCCCTGCTTCATATAGCATCCTGAATTGCTGTGATTATAAGCCTGTGCCATCCTGCCCAGCTCATTGTGAATATCTTATCCTTTACCAAATCAGTAACTTACTCAGTGTATCATAAGGTTTCTCAATGGTATGTATCCCAAAGATTCTCAATTATGTTTTTTTATCAGTTAGACTGTGAATCCCTAGATTTTCTATGAACCTGCTAAAATACTATGCAAATTTTATTTGATTTTTGAGGAGGAAGGATTTGTCTTTTTCAGATTCTCAACAGGATCTGTGATAAAAAAAGTTTAAAAATAGTGTCTCATGTGTATGATCTAGTGTTTCAGAGTCTCTTTCACATTAAAAAAACAAATAGGGCTCGGGTTGGAGCTCAGTGGTAGAGCACTTGCCTAGCATGTGTAAGACACTGGGTTTGATCCTTAGCCCCACATAAAAATAAATGAATAAAAATAAAGGTGCTGTGTCCATCTACAACTAAAAAAAAAAATCTTTTTAAAAAAAATAAAGGTTTAAGATGAGAAAATTAAACCCAGTTTATTTTTTTATTTGTTTTTTAAAAATACTTATTTTAGTTGTCAATGGACATTTAGTTTTATTTATTTACATATATGCAGTGCTGAGAATAGAATCCAGTGAGTGCCTAACATATGCTAGACAAATTTTGTACCACTGAGCTACAACCCCAGCCTCAGTTTATTTTTAAAAATACAAAAAATAAAAAGAAAATTAAATTTGGAAAAGGAAAAAGGAATACTGCCTTAAATAAATAACATGACATTCTTATTTATATAGGTATATGTAAGTTGTTTATCAAATAAATTTTTATTTGTATCTTTCATTAGTAAGAAATTATAGTATTTTGTATATACTTGAGAAATAAAGTACATTTAAAGTCCATGCTCCCGGTACACTATTCCTTGGATAGATAATATAGAGTTATCTTAAGAGAAACCAAAAAGAGGTACCCATACAGAAAAGCCTCTGTTGTGTAGTTATTATTGAACATTATTGTTCCAGTCTGTTTTGTTCTCATTCTGTGATTTTATTTTTGTTTTTAAATTGTTTTTCATTTTGCAATTTTATTTTTAAAAGGAATATTTTGTATATATGTAATGTCTTTAATGATACTGAAATATTGCTGAAATTCTTTTGATATTATTTATAAGTTTTACTTTTTCATTGTTGTCTTTACAAACCCTTTTTTTATAAAAAGATTTGGGGTCCTGGAATTGTAGCTCAGTGATAGAACTTGTGCTTATCATATTGGAAGTCGTGGGTTCAGTCCCTGTCTTTGAGGGAAAAAAACAAAGATTTTGATATGATAAAGAACTTTTTAAAAATGTGCATAATTTACTTGGATGACTCATGAGTAGTAAATTGAAGATAGAATAGTAGTAGATCGTAGAACTGAAGGAGACTTAGTTTAACAAACTTATTTAACAGAAAAAGAAACTAAAGTATTGGGGGGCTATATTAATTAGTGGCAGAGCAAAGTCATAGTAAGCAGTAATTACTGTCATTATGAAATGATAATGATGATAATAAAAAGATGATGATAAGACAACTTGGTTCCTCCCCTCAGGAGGCTCACAACCTTAAAGAGGACCTAATTTAAGTAATTTTCTGTTTTCATATTTCCTTTGCAATGGTTACTACAGGTTGAGTATCCCTTCTTCAAAATGCTTGGGACCCCAAGTATTTCAGATTTCAGAGGTTTTTTTTGTAGTTTGGAATATGACCATAGACTTTTATCAGATGAGCATCCATAGTTTGGAAATCCAAAATTGGAAATGCTCCAAAATCCACAACTTTTTCGAGTGTTGTGTTGTCATTCAAAAAGGTACTCAAAAAAGTATTGGATTTTTGAGCATTTTGGATTTTAGATTTTCATATTAGCAAAGTGCTACCTATGTTGTTTGAAGTTTTTCCTTTCAAAATGAATTTCAAAAAACAWGGGGTGGAAARCTGGGCAGAGTGGTGCATGCCTGTAATCCCAGCGACTTGTGAGGCTGAGACAGGAAGATTGCGAATTTGAAGCCAGCCTCAGCAAAATCAAGGTGCTAAGCAACTGAGTGAGACCCTGTCTCCAAATAAAATACAAAATAGGGCTTGGGATGTGGCTCAGCAGTCACGTGCCCATGAGTTCATTTCAAAACAAAACAATTGGGATTGGGAAAGGGTAGGCTAGGGATGTAACTCAGTGGTAGAGTATTTGCCTCGGTCAGATCTCCAACACCTCAGAAGGAATAGAAAAGCCATCAGTAATCCTCTATTTTAATCTAGCAATAGAATAATAAAATATTAAACTGTGAATTTCTGACTAGAACTTACATAAAAGTTTCTTGATATATATGGATAAATATCTTTGAAGCAAAACCAAAACTATAATCTTAATTATATAAGTAATGCTGATTACTTTTTTTTTTTTTTGGTATTGGGGATTAAACCCCAGTGTGTTCTACCACTGAGCTATATTCCCAGCCCTTCCTTTTTTTTTTTAATTTTTAATTTTGAATAGAGTCTTGCCAAGTTGCTATGGCTGGCCTCAACTTTCTGTCTTCCTGCCTCAGCCTTCTGAGTCATTAGGATTACAGACAGGTGCCATTGTGCCCAGCTAGTGCTGGTTACTTCTTAGCTGTAAGCCAAGTTCTGTTAAACAGTTCCAGTTCAACTTTAGCGTTTAATAGGTGTTTCTACTGYAATGAAGAGTAGTTATTCTGTCTGTCACTTTGGAATTTGGTCACCTGGAGTTTCATTCCAATTCATGGTGACTAATATGACGTTGGATATAAGTTATTGGATACCTAGGAGCCCAGTTTTTTAATTCTACTCTTTATTACATTTAATCTGGAGAAGTGCCATAGGTACATTTCTTGGTTGAATATTATTATGCTTAAGAGTCATTACCTTGTCTTCATTCTTTTAGCACTTGAAGTGTTCAGCTTGAGTATACTACAACTTTAACTCACCAGTGTAACACTTTAATGGTCGATAGGGACTAATGCAACATCAAGAGGCATCTAATTTAGTTGCACCTGTAAGCCATATTCATACTAGGCTACTTGAAATCACATTATCCATAAGAATTTTTTTWAAAAAAACTTTTAATATTTTTTTAGTTGTCAATAGACCTTTATTGTATTTATTTATATGTGGTGCTGAGAATCAAACCCAGGGCTTCACACGTGCTAGGCAAGCACTCTACCACTGAGCCCCAGCCCTAGCCCCAGCCAACCCATAAGAATTTAAAAGCCTGTTTTCCTTCTGCCCCACCTTGCTGCTATTCTATCTCACAGAACTTCATCACATTGGCCTTCTAGTTGTTCCTTGCAGTTTCCAGTAGGCTCTGTCTCACCCTGGGTCTTTGAACTTGCTTTTACTTTTACACAGAATGCTGTTCCTTCTGTTAGCCACAATTTTGAACCTTCCTCAAACAATTTATATAAAATGGCTTGTAAGTATGTTGCGGGTAGAACTCAGTAATAGAATGCTTGCTTATGTGCAATCTTCATCACTGCAAAAAAAGAAAAACAAAATTGCTTGCAGGCTTCAATTCTTCTGATATGTCTCATATATCTTCCCTGTTTTATTTTTTCCTTACTGCATTTTTCACCCCAGACATGCTGTAAATTTATTACTTTATTTGTTATTATCAGTATCCCTACATTGGGATATGTTTCATTAGGGCAAGGATTTGTCATTTTGCTTCTTCCTGTACCTTTAGTGCCCAGTAGAGTGACTAGTACATAATAGATCTCAGTAAGCCTTTCTTCAGGGAATGGATGATCTCATTAATCTTCATTCCCTTTATCTAAAATTATAATAAATAGAGAAAACTGGAGTAATAAGCTTCTAATAACTCTGAGGAAACTTGATTTAGACTAAGTTTCCTGAATTAATTGAAAATGTTCTGTTTAATTCATATTGCTTCTCGGGCTCAGGGTATAGCTTACTGGTAGAGCACTTGTCAAGCATGTGTGAGCTCTTTTACAGAATTTCCCAGCACTAGGGAAAAAAAGAAATATATATCTATATTTATATCTGTACACACACACTTACTGCTTCTCACTTAATAATCTTTAATACTAACAGTTCATTTCTCATATATATCATATATATATTTTTTGCTATAACTTGTCAGGATTTCCCCAAACAAGTATCTGGATATTGTTTACAGTCTATTTTAATTAATAATCAAGGCTGCAGTTCTCAAATATGCTTGTAAATTGCTGGTTTGTATGGAAACAAAGGAAGTAGATAATGTAATAAGACCCTGAAAGAAGCAAGTGCTTAAATTGATTGAGGATTTTGGCGTTTTTTGTTTCTTTTTTGTTTTTTTGGTGCTGGGGATTGAATCCAGAGCCTTGTGCATGTGAGGCAAGATCTTTACCAACTGAGCTATATTCCTAGCCCTAGAATTTTTTTTTTAAGGACAGGAAATAGAAAAATTACCATATTTTTTTCCTTTTGTCAAGCTGAGTCACTTTCATTTATATTCACAGGCAAAATCATCAACGTTGCAGACTAGTACTCAACCTTCCTCACAGGTAAGATGTTTTTTTCCTTCAAATCTAAGTAGCAGGGTTTTAAATGAGTTATAGTACATTTAGATTACATCTTGAGGTCTGTATAGCATTTAAGATGAATTTTATCCTTTAAAGCTTTGAAATTAAAAAATATTTGTTTTGTTTGTTTGAAATGTTCCTGAAAGTTTATTTACTGAGTTATGGCCTGAAACACAGAATATCACTTTCCCTTCATAAGGATTTTTATATTTTAAAAATTAAGAATTAAGTATGTTGTTAAGTTTATAATATAATATTTAATAGATTATTGACAAGTTTATTTTATTTTTCCAGAGACCATCTTGGTGGCCCTTTGAGATGTCTCCTGGTGCATTAACTTTTGCTATTATATGGCCTTTTATTGCCCAGTGGTTGGTGCATTTATATTATCAAAGAAGGAGAAGGTAATACTATAGTTTTATAATTTGAAATGATGCATAAATTCTTATAACTGATAGTCTTCAGCAACAACTAAGAGAATAGGTCCATTGTCATATTGAACATTCTATATTGATCCTGAGACTAAAGCTACCTTGGAAATGATATGTTGGCGATTGCTCGGTACTTATTAAGACTAGTTTTCCCTTGGGAACATCTGATAGATTTGTATACCTATGATCTGCTCAACAAGAAAATTACTATATGCTTCTTAAGTTTTATGGCTTTATGATGTTTGTTTTGGGCCCTTTGCTAATATAAATGACAGTGGAAAGGTAAACAGATAATACTTGCTTACTTTGTATACCTTTGACAGATGGGCATTAACATTTCAGAAAAATTTCAGCCTGCTGGTTGACTGTATCTAGAATTAAGAAGTAGTTTATTATGAGGGCCAAAATTCCAGTTTGGGATGATAGAAGATAACTCACATAGGTCTGAGAAATAGCTTGGAATTCCTGAATGTGCCCTGAATCTCTGTTCTGAGGTGAGAATCCTTGTGTTCCAGAAAATCTTCAATCCAAAAACTGGACACAAAAACTGAATTACTTTCTTGAGCGAATTGGCAAGGTAGACCATTACTTTGCCTTATTGATTGTGTCTTCCATGTTTCATCATCATCTCCMATTAAGTAATAATAGATGGGTAGAAAGCAATAGGGCACACTTGACACACATTTAAAAAAATCTGAGTTTAAATATTTATGGGTGTTTTTCCTTTACCAAAGAACCCAGTTATAATCTATCACAGTAGGTAGGTTGAAATGCATATGAAAAGTAAGTTGCTTTCTTTTTTTGGGGGGGGCACTATATCCAGGGCACTTAACCACTGAGCCACATCACCAGCCCTTTTTTAAACAATATATTTTATTTAGAGACAGTGTGTTGTTGAGTTGCTTGGGTCTCACTAAGTTGCTAAGGCTGGTTTTGAACTTGAAATCCTCCTGCCTCAGTCTCCCAAGCCGCTGGGATTACAGGAGTACACCAACAAGCCCAGACTAAGTTGATTTTTCAATAGTACTTTTACCTTTTAAGTCTATTCGTATATTTGTTGTTTGTTTGTTTAATGGATCTTTTTTTTTTTTTAAGTTGTAGATGGACACAATACTTTTATTTTCTTTGTTTATTTTTATATGGTGCCAGGGATTGAATCCAGTGCCTCATGCATGCTAGGCAAGCACTTTGCCACCGAGCCACAATCCCAGCCCATATTTGTTTTTTTAATTGTCAAAAAGATATAGATGTTGGGCTGAGGATAAAGCTCAGTGATAGAGCACTTGCCTAGCATCAGCAAGAGCCTGGGTTTGATCCCCAGCACCATAGAGGGGAAACAAAAGAACTATAGACTTTTAATTTAAATCTGTTTTTTGTTTTACACATTATAAATTTCTCCTATGATGTTTGGGTATAGTCCKGTTCAGTGTTTTAAATTCTAGTATCCTTGATATAGGAGGAAAAAAGAACCAAATCTTTTCTCAATAAGTAGTAATGCTCAACTTAAASTATAGGCACAGTGACACTAAAGGTAGGTGTTTACATATTTTGTATTATTTCAAAATTATTTTTTTTACTGTGTTAGGGATTGAACCCAGGCCCTCACACATGCTGGGTAAGCTCTCTACCACAGAGCTACATCCCTGGACTTCAAAATTCCTTTTCATGTTTTCTTTGTAGAAGAAAACTGGAGGGTAGAGAAATTTGGGATAGGACCAAAATCAAATAAAATTCGATTAATAGTTATCTTTTGGGGCTGGGGTTGTGGCTTATTGGTAGAGTGCTTGCCTGGCATGTGAGAGGCCCTGGGTTCCATCCTCAGCACCACATTTAAAAACAAACAAACAAACAAACAAACAAATATATTGTGTCCATCTACAACTGAAAAAAATATTTTAAAAAAATAGTTATCTTACCACTTCATTAAATGTTTTAAAAAATGCCTGCACAGTGGCGCACACCTGTAATCCCAGTGGCTCGGGAGTCTGAGACAGGAGAATCATGAGTTCAAATCAGCTGCAGCTAACATTTGTGCTAGAACCTSACTCAGACAGTTTGTCTTTAGAACCACCCACATCTGTCTTTGTCCATCATTTCATTTATCCTCTTCCAGGGACCTGTTTTCTTCCTTCTGCAGGGAACTCTCCTGTTAGGTGAAAACTGATCTGATTATTGAAAATGTCACTCATGCCAAGAAGGTGTATATAAAAGAATTTATACAGAGCGTAAGAAGTGATCTGATTATTTATTTCTACAGAGAGGAATGACTAATATGAGAGTTTTAGACAGGCATCTTGAGTGCTCAGGAGGGTATGGAGGTTTTACAGCAGTGAAACATTTTGCAGAACTTAAATCATATGTGATTSTTGTGTCTTGTGCTAACAAGCCTACCCTCTCCCAGTCGCTCATTCACTCTGCTATCATTAAAACTATTGTGTTATATTTATCCAAGTTTGGGGGCTGTATGTTTCTCTCTCCATTGTCACTAAACTGAGCTCTTTTGAGCGATAAGAGACTGCCTTATTTATGTCTGAATCCCGGTGCCTGAATAGAGTCTGGAAAATAATAAATACAAATATGTGTTGAGTAAATGAATAGTCTGGGTTAATTAAGCTTTTGGTTTCACAGCTTTCCATTTTCATAAAATTATGAAATAATTCCCTTAAGTCTTGATTGCATAGTAGCCAATTGGAAAAGGATGAAATTCTAGAAGGGAAGAAAAAAAGAATGTAAATTTATTTATTGAAAACTTTTGGGCCAAGTGTGGTGGTGCATGCTTGTGATACCAGAGACTCAGGAGGCTGAGGCAGGAGGATTGCCAGTTTGGGATCAGCTTTAGCAACTTAGGAAGGCCTTAAGCAACTTAATGAGCCCTGTCTCAAAATAGAAAATAAAAAGGACTAGGGTTGTGACTCAGTGGTAAAGCACATCTGGGTTCACTCCCCAGTACCACAAATTAAATAAATAAAAACTTTTGATAATGTCAGTGCCTACAATTAGATCCTTCCTATTGGACTAAGTCACATGAAGTAGTTTCATGAGGATCATTTGTAATTTATGGTTTCATCTTGAAATTGAATGTTTTTATGTTATCATCSAAGAATTTTTGATATGGATGTGTTTCATATTGGGTTGCATTTATACTCACAGGAAACTGGTTTTTACTTTCTTTTTAAAGAAAACTGAACTGAAGAAAATGATATTTTACTTAAGAAGACTGCTGGGCCTGGATGACCTCAGAATGAAATGGATTGTGGAGTTCACAAGAAAATCTTAATTTGTGATGATTACATTTCTTTTTTGTTGTCCAGTAGTTTGGTTTGTGTACATATATACATACATATTTTTTGCACTACACAAATGATAACATTTTAAGGACTAATAGTGCTGATACTTGAATAATCAATCAGAACTAGTTTATAAGTAACATATATTATACCCTACTCTTGAACTTGAAGGACATTAAATTATTGTTTGGTAACATTTACCTGATTATCTTCCATAGAGAAATATAAGCTGCTTCCCAAGGTACAGGTCTGATAATAAGATCAGATTTATATAAGTGGGTATTTTTCATTTTCTAAGTTAAATATGAGAAAGAATGTAAACCAAGAATGAGTTTCAAATGAGGGTAAATGGATTTTATATTAGTTACTGAATTGCCATGCCAAGTAGTAGAAACTGCTGGAAGAATCTTCTCCACATTCACTTTGTGGGCTGCACATAATCTTTCTTGAGTAGTCACATCTCAGAGTTAATGTCAGGCATCATTATTAAAAATTATATCCCTTAGTTTTTACAAATGAGTTACAGATAGACATAACATGATGATGGAAATTATGAAAAATGGGCTTAATGTAATAGATTTAAAAGTATATTCTGAGCCTACAGATAACCTATAAGATTTTAATTCAATCATATACATATATTCCTTTGTAATTATTTTTCTTTGAGGATATCTAGTGTATGCTTCATAGGGTGCTTTGAAATATAAAATGAAAACTTATTTATACTGTTTTTACAAAGGTAAAAAAGGAAACACATTAATATCACTTTTCTGCAACTGGTAAACTATACAGACTGGACTCTTTAACCTCTTAGTGCCTCAGTTTTTCCTTGGGGGTATAATATTTGGATATACATACTTCATTAGGGGTATTGGAAGGTTTTACAAGCTAACAGGCCATATGCTTTTTATGAATAGGCATGCTCAACCAATGAAAATTTAAGTCCCTCTATCCCACATCTCACCTTTTAGACTAAAAGGAAGACTGTAATTTAGATCCTTGAAGATTGCATTTGGAAAATCATTCTTCCTGTATACCTTACAAAACTCTACATTTAGTTAGATGTACTTTGTGCTTTAAAGATTTCTATGAATCAGAGACTTTGTAGCAGATAATTTTGAAGAATTCTGTATTGCAAGATGTTGGGATTAGCATGTGTTCAGAGTGTTTTTAATAAGAGGGAAGAAATTAGTCCAACTTTAATATACAGAGTGGTTCTTTATTTGCCTGAAGAAAAAATATGAGAATACAGTTTGCTTTTCCCAAACTCATGTTCTTATTTCTTCTTTCGTATAACTTAATGTTTTTTTAGTTTTTAATCCATCTAGATTAAAACGTATCTAAAAGGATCTTCCTTTGCTTAAAAACAACAAAAAGAAACAACCTATCCTCTACTTATTTAGAAAAAAATGGAGAAAGTAACTGAATTATATGTAGAAATAAAGTTTAAACTTGTGGATCAGGGATTATTTAAAAAAAATTAGATATCAAGTATGAAAATAAGAAAATGGTGGCTTTTTTCTTAGTATTTAAATAAAATGCAAATTAAGAATGTAGGAAGTTGGGATTCATTACAAGCAGTCAGGGATAATTAACTGCTAGGGATAACCATTTGTATCTTATTCCAAAGTCTTTATTTTATAGTTTGAAAAGCACTTTGCACACAATTCTTGTATATAAATTAATGATGTAATTATAGGGTATAGTGTTATTGCTTTGTTTAATAAGAAAAGAATCTCATTTTAAATTGACAGCTATGGTATTTTTTTAAYGATCAACTTATTTTCTGTTTCTTTATTGTAAACTAAGTTAAAATAAAAGGTTAATGAGAAATGTTGTTACTGTTAGTGTATTGATTATATACTAAAGATTAAATAAGAATAAATAGAAGGAATTCATAAAATTACTTTTTAAATAAAGCCATGCTTATATATAATTTTATAAAAAATCAAGCTGGGATGACATTTAACTCATTTAATCATCTAGTTGATTAGAATTAGTGATCCAGTCAAAAATCTTAGTTTAGTTCATAACATCAAATAAATAGCTTCTCACAAAGGACTCGGTGAACCCCTAAAAATAGCCATCTTGAATATATACCATTGGTTGTAGGTGGAACATGGTGAGTTTGTGTTTTTATTGCATATATAACTTATAATTTCATGATAGTATAAAAGTGATGTTAACTACTTGTACCACTTAAGATATCAGTGTTCTGCTGTGGCTTGACCAAATGTTTTTTGTTTTCCTCTTAGAAGCTCAGAGGTAGTAAGTCTGGGGCTGGTACTTCCACAATGCCATTATGGATCTAGGGCTCACTTCCTGTCTTCTATTCTACCATATTTAGTGTGTAGCTTTTCTCTTTATTCCCAGATCTACAGTATAGGAGGACAAGTGAAGGGAAGAAGGCAATTTCCAGTTGTATTTTTCTATCTAATTAGGAAACAATTATCTTTATTGAAAGACTCATATAGGAGACTTCTCATATCTAATTAGCTAGAACTGTATCCTCTGTCCCTTTCCTTCTTCCTTTGGAAGCTTTTCCTTTCCTACTGAAGGATTCTGTTGAGGCTGTTAAATGGAACACCGAGATATGCCCACTCCTTCCCACCCAAGCCACAGTAATGAGTATGTGACCCACACCTACCAGTTTATATCCCATTCTTCTAAGAAAAGTTATGATCTCAGGAATGGGTACAGGATCATCAGTGAGACAGTTGGAGTTAATCTTTGGGAATTACTTTGTGGAACTAGGAGAGAATATTCTTTCTCACCCCTTCTCTTTGCAATTTTTTTTTTTTTTGCAACCAATGAACATTATTACTTTTTTTTTTTCTTTGCAAAATTTTTTAGATCTGTTTCAGGTCCACCACAAAACTGAGTGAAAAGTTCATTATTCCCCTCCATTCTCCCAACACCCACATACAACCTCTCCAACCATCCCCATCCCCTGGTAGAGTGGCACATTTGTTACAATCKATGAATTAACGTGGAAAAATGATTACATTAGGGTTCATTCTTGGTGTACATTCAGTAGGTTTTTACAAATTTAAAATGATGTGAACTCACCTTCTAATAGAATACAGTCATTTCACTACCCTAAACATCATCTGTGCAAGGCCTATTCCTACCTCTCTGCTAACCCCGGGCAAACATTGATCTTTTTACTGTCTCAATAGTCTTGCATATTTTAGATGTCATGTATTTGGAATCACCATATGTAGACTTTTCAGGCTGGCTTCCTTTTACTCAGTAATATGCACTTATGTTTGTTTTGTGTTTATTCATGGCTTAATAGCTCATCTCTTTGTATCACTGAATAATATTCCATTGTAAGGAAGTACCACAATTTATCCATTCACCYACTATAGGCATCTTGATTGTTTCCAACTTACGAATAAAGCTATTATAAATATAACAGTTTGTGGGGCCTCAGGTGTGGCTGAGTGGTAGAGCACCTGCCTAGCCTGTGTGAGGCACTGGGTTCCATCCTCAGCACCACGTRTAAATAAATAAACAAAAATGTATTGTATCCATCAACAACTAAAAATATATTAAAAAAATGTTTGTGCAGGTTTTTGTGTGAGCATATTTTCAACTCATTTGGGTAAATACCAAGGAGTTTGATTGCTGGATCATGTGTTAAGAGTACATTTAGTTTTTTAAGAAACTGCCAAATAATCTTCTAAAGTGGCTGTACCATTTTGTTTACACTAGCAATGAATGAGAGTATTTCTGTCAGCATTTAGTGTTATCAGTGTTTTGGATTTTAGTCGATCTGATAGGAATGTTGTGGTTTCATATATTCTTTCTCTTTGAATTATAGTCTGCTAAGATTATATTACCCTAGGGTAATATGTCTCTTATCATTTGGAAGAGCCTTAGATAATAAGGCCAATACTGTTATAACATAGCTTAGAGACAGGAGGACATGGTCAAGTCCCTCTATCCATTTAACTCTATAAACAATACTAACTCTATAATTTGCTTATATTGATTAGTAAATTTGCTTTCTTATTTAAAGTACTTAAGAAGGTTTCTGATGCTTGCTACCACTATACAGGTAGCTCCTTTTTTAAAATATTTATTTTTTAGTTGTAGTTGGACACAATACCTTTATTTTATTTATTTTTATGTGGTGCTGAGGATCAAACCCAGGGCCTGGTACATGCTAGGTGAGCGCTCTACCACTGAGTCACAACCCCAGCCCATACAGGTAGTTTTTTTATTCTGAGGACTGAGTACAAGCTCTGGAGCCAGCCTGCCACTYTCTAGCTGTACAATCACGGGAAATTAATATGTGTTTTCAGTTTTCTCATTCATAAAATTGGTGTAATATCTCTTAGGATGCCAGACACAGATTGGGACTTATGAAGATACCTTATAGAAGCTGCAGCATTTGGTCAAGGAAAGTACCAGCCTACCAGGATCCGCAGGGAAGAAAGTTAGGGAATCAGTATTCCTCCTTCATTCTTTTTCCCCTGGGATCTACTGCTGATGCCCTGTATTAGCCAAATCTACTGGAAGCCAGAGGAACATAGGAGTCTTTTGACATGGTTAGCATAGCAATTTCCTTGGGCACAAAGCGGACTTCAGAAGTATGGAGGTGGCTCTGGAAAGACAGGGAGATCTCCACCATAGCACTTTCTTTAATGTGCCTGATATCTCTCTTGTTTATCCTCTACACAGAGGAAAAACAACAAAACAAAACAAAAAAACCCCTACCATTTAGCAAGGGTCAAGAAGGGATAGAAGGTATGTGCAGTTGGATAGAGGATCTTAGGATCTGCTTAAGTGGAATCCAACTAATTCAACTACTACCTTTCATCCTTAGGGATGTACCTAGTACCAACTCTTATGTAGTGTAAGTTCAATTAATTTTTGCTTGTTTCTCATGACTCACAATGATGCAGTTAGTTACTGCATTACTTAAACTAATTACCCACTTATTTACCACCTTCCAAATTGTCATTGCTTTTTTTTTTTTTTTTTAAATTGCTTTCTTATTCTGTCAGTACCTGAGGGTTACAATGTTACTATAGCTGGATAGGGATAACCAGAAAACTCAGTGGCACAAAGCAGCCATTTGGTGTGCTCACGGATTCCATGAAAGGCATAGCAGGGTTCCATATCTGAGGAAACTCAGAAGAATTGGAAACTGGCAAAGTGTGTGGGGGTATCTGTGGGTAACTACTTATGCTTTTCCTCATGGTTGTTCCAGTATGGTTGCTATGGGGTAGCAAGACTTCCTATATGACAGCTCAGGCTCCCAAAGTGCATGTCCCAGGAGAAAGCCAGGGAGAAGCTTTTTTGCCATCTTAAACTTGGCCTTGGAAGCTACSTGGAGTCATTTCCGCCACTTGACTCACTGGATGCAATTCAATGCATTTTGCCTATCTTTATAGGAAGAATAATTAAACTCTACTTTTTGTGGCAATAGTGTAAAAGAAATTGCAGGCACCATTTTTTCTTGGAAGTCTCCAACTGATTTCTTGAATTCTTTGAGTGTCTCACAGACATTTCTACCCATCCCATTCCTCATTCTATTTTAGGGTACAATACCACAATTGACCCATTTGCTCAAGCCAGGAATTAGGTGTCAAACTTGGTTCCTTCCATTCATCTGTAAGTTTTGATAATTCWATATCTAAATATATCTTGAATCCAGGTAGGCTGGTACATTTTACTTAGTCTTCTTTCAAATATTATCCCACACAATATACTTCAACAGTGAAAGAATAACCCATCTATGTTGGCTTGGTATTAATTGAAAAACCTGGTGTAAACAGTATGTTTGAACATATCTTCTGGACTCTGAACATGTTTGCAATTGGCTAAAACTACGACAGTTCTTTTTGGCAAATGGAATAATTATTTGACCTAAATGTCCTTCAAAGACTTTGGAACAACATGGTAAGGTTTTCAAATAATTATCATTTAGTAAACCTTTTTTTTTGTGTGTGTGTTTGCTAAGTACTTTGTCTAGTTTTATTCTAATATGGAGAAGCCAAGATAAATAGGTAGCTTTTCAAACATTTTTTGCATTTTTTTTTTACATTTAGTGGGGCTAGGAAGAAAATTATTTTCTGTTAATTAAAATTATATAGTAGTTGTTGGTGAAGAAATTTTTTTCTTAACCATCATGAGCTCTAAGTTGGGATGGCTCTCCGTAACAAAAGACATTAACAATAAAAAAGTTTTTAATGTGTGTAGTGCATGTTATRCAGGAGATACTTCAATGTAAAGTAACCCAAGGAGTGCTTAGAATTCTAATATAGGATCTTCAACAAAGAACAAATACATTTCTTTGCATGTATCTTGTAAATGACAGGACAAAGGAAAGTGATTTTAGGTTTCCAAACAGGGAAACTCTCAGAAGATAAATATAAAGGAGAAAAGAATGGAGTAAGGTTTGTTTATAGAGTCTTCTGGTACTACCTGTTGGCTAAGACTCTAGAGTTCTCTTCAGTGAAGTTGAATTTATAGCCTACCTTTAGACAAAAAAGCAAGAGGAGAGGGAGAAATCTTACTCTGTCTCCTTTAGGTCAAAAATATTTTTTATGCCAGAGACATATTTTGGAGTGACACATTCTGATTGCCTTCAGAGTAAAAGATGCACAGATTTCCACTCATCGTAGTCAATGTTCTTTATTTCATTATTGTTGTTCTTTCTTGGGTTTCTCCTTAACAAGTGTCTGAACTTACAGCTCCTTGACAGWTATATATTTAGATGATAAATCACACATTCCCCTTAAATACCCTGACAACATGCCTTTCCTGGTGGCAGCATTTCAGATGACTATCTACGTTTATAACAACAAACCATGTAACTTTCTACTCAAGGGCTTTGTCTTCTGTTGAAAATCAGCTAATTTTACATTTCTCCAATTAAGTAACATTTCAAGTCCTTGATACCTTCCTTGGGAAGCCACAAAAGTGGTTGTTTCTTAATCTGGCTCTGCTCATTCCAACTCTTCAAAGTAATCAGTATAATCCCCAACATAGAGCTGCTCCCAAATAATCTGCCTAAGGTGTCTTAATGTGGCAGAGTGATGGTTTGATCTGTTTGATTCCGCAGCCTTTTTTCTTTTCACTACTTGACAATACCATAAAACGATGACAGGTAATTAATTCTATGCTCTCATCTAGGGTAAAAATGTATAACTCAAACTAAATGAAGTTAAAACAACTGTATTTTGAGCATTTTATTACAAGGGGTAACTATGAGGAGCATTAAATCTAAGTAGTCATTACTAAAACAAGCTCAGTAAAACCTCTAGCCYGTGAATTCGATTACTTAGAAATGATTATAATGGTATATCTTTCACTGTAACTGTTTCAACTTGTATCTTTGTCAACTATATCACAGCAGGGCAAACAGTAAAGCCAATGTGCAAAAAGAAAACGGTATTTAAAAGATTATTAGCAGAAGACTTATGCTACATTTATATTTGACCTTTGCTCTTTTAGGTGTTAAGTATGATGAAAACCTCAATGAATTTAAGATATGACTGAGCTGAATGCTTACAGTGTGTGTTGATGATGACAGATAATTTRCTTTTATAATTATATTTATTAAGCAAAATTGTATTACTATTTTAAATCTGTTTACAGTATATCACACCTAACCTTTCCAGTAGTATTAAAATAAATAAATATCCTAGAGGCAAGCACCAAAAGCAGTCAAGGCAATAAAACTGTATCATTAGTAACTTGTAAACTAAAACTCTAGTCCTTTTTTTTTAGTCTTTGTTTCCCAAAGGAGTTACACTAATGAGTGAAGAAATTTTCCAGCTACATTTTCGAGGTTACAAATGATGCCTTAAATGATTGCCCATGAGACAACAGGGTTGTTTGTTTTTGTTTTTCCATTCTGGGGATTGAACCCAGAGGCACTTTACCACTGATCCACATCCCTACCCTTTTTATTTTCTTATTTTGAGACAGGGTCTCATTAAGTTGCTGAGGCTGGCCTGCAACTCCGGACCCACCAACTTCACACTCCAAAGTCAMTGGAACATGGGCAAGTAAATTACATTCAAATGAAACCATACTTTTTTTGTTACCACATTGAATGGTGGACTACAATCAACACAAAGAAAAAAATCAAGCTTGTGGCTAACTATCTCTATGTATTATAGTGGTAGTGCCATTCTAATTTTATTGATGCTTTACTTTTCATAAAGTGCAGAAAATAAAATAAATAAGATTTAAAAAGATTTGAAGATTTATATACAGTTCTCAAGTTGAGATATTACTAATTACATTTCTTATATCTTTTTAACTCTGTGAAAGCTGTCACATACATTAAAAGCTCATCAACCCAGGTAGAATAATTATTTTGATCCCTCTTTTATCAGTTTAGTATTAAAGAGTATATAATTATGAAGCTTATTCTATAATACAAGTTTTAAATAAAAGAAACATTTACATGCTATAGACTAAATCCAGATACAGTCAGATGCTGAGCGTTATTCCTGGCTTCAAAATAGGAAGTATCTGTTTCATTATCTGGTTGAGGTATGAAAGGCATAGTTTGATGTTGCAGATTTTCCCAGTCTACATCACTGAAGAGAGGATGACGTTTCAGTTCTTAGGAAAAATATGAAACAAAACAATATTATGACACAATTGCCTAAGTAAGTACTGCTTTTTGGAATTAAAAAGGGGATGTCTAATATGTATCTTGCCTGAATTTACTATRCCAGTTTTACAAATGTCTGTCTCCCTGTTAAGGTCAAATACCATTTGATTTTGTCTATTACTTGGCATATAATAGGTTCCTGGTTTAGATTTGCCAAATGAGCAAATGAAGCTTATTTTTCTTGCTGCCTGCATCTTCTTACATAATCCCTGACTTGAGGGAAGAGAGTTTGGCCTACTTCTGGCTCCCAAATACAACTTCCATAAAGCTGACATCACATGATTAATGCTTCAGTTCTCATTACAAGGCCTAACTACTTATTTATATCACTAAAATCTTTAGCACTATCTATTGCCCCAGATAACTTGAGCATGAAGCTCATCCTTCACTCCCTTGCTTTCTTCCCTATGCTCCATCCTTCTTCATGGTGATTTTAACATATACATTGATACCTTATTCATCCTTCCTATTTCTTTCTGCCTACTAAAATAAAAGTATGTTCATTTATTTGACCACATGGTGATATTTAGTTGGTAGAAATAACCCCCCTCCCCTTTTCTAAACTCTTCTTTTTTGTGTGTGTGTCATTGTTGTGGATTGAACTGGGGTCCTTGCACATATTAAGCAAGCTCTCTACCACTAGGCTACATTCCTAGCCTGAACCTTTCAATCCTTAAACCAACACAAAAAGTAACCCAACTTAAGTAAAATATTGGAAGAGGACTACATAGACAGGAAAGAATTATGGGTCTATATTAGGGGTGAGGAGTTGGGAGATCAATGTCTACCAGTTGATTTTTCTCTACACTAAAAGACTAATAGGAAAAGGAATAAAATAGCAACAATAGTTTACATACAAAGAATTTGTCTCTTAAAGTTCAAAATAACTGAGCATGGATAACTTTTCAGAATGGTGGTTATGGGGTTATTTTACCCTTAAAGGACATTTGGCAATGTTTAGAGAMATTTTTGGTGGTCACAAATGTGGGAGCATCTACCAAGTAGAGGCCAGTGATTTTGTTAAATATTCTAGTCATCAGGACAGGCCCCACAATTATCTGGATAAAGCAGAGAAACTCTTCTTCAGAAAATAATATAAGTTGTTAAAACTAAGTGGGGATAAAAGAAAAATGTTCTTACTAATGACACCACAGAAGTTTTTTCTTCMACAAACAGTTTACAGAGTGAAGCAGAGGATGGATATTCTTCAGTTTTAAAAAAAGTTACTTCAGGGATGGGGTTGTGGCTTAGAGGTACAGTACGTGCATGAGGCACTGGGTTCAATCCTCAGCACCACATTAAAAAAAATAAAGATATTGTGTCCATCTATAACTGAAAAATATTTTTTTTAAAAAAGTTACTTCAACCCTTAAACTAAATTAGAATTCCTTTGTGAATTAAGTTTAAATGAAAATAAGTAGTTATGATGAAAGGATCACAAAGCTTCCCACTATATCCAGAGATTAAGAGTTACTACTATCAATTTTCTGCTTCATTAAATGTTATCTTCTAGCAAAATAYTTGAAAATCATTCCAATGCACCATATCATAGCCCATTAGAATATCACAATAGACTGAAACTGTAATTTCCATGGGTGTGACAAGAAAGAATATTGAATTTTAGATAAATTCATCTTAATTTTCTTTCTCCTTGAAGTTGGCAATTATTTTGGCCTTGAATGTGCTCCACTAGTGTAACAAGGTAGTAATAAAGTCTTCACTCAGCTTGAGATTGATTAACACATAACCATAAGGCAATGCATATAATGTTATCAATAAGAGTTAGCCTTAAAAAAAAAAAAAGATCCTATCTGCTGCTTCCTGAATGATACCATGCTTTATAATAGCAATCTGACCAATATGTTGTGTTAAGATACCCACATCTATTCTGAAGTAACACTGTGAGGATCCGATGTGTCCAAACCCAATGTACACTGCTAGAATTCAAATTTGTGGGTGTTCATGTATTTCAAGCAACTTAAATGAAGTCCTAGGCTTATTAAGAAAGCTGAAGCTGAGTTTTCAAATGACCACTCTTTCACTTCTTACAGGTTTCTGATCAAATCTCACTCTTTATAGAGGTATTTCCAATCACCATATCTAAAAACATCTCTTGCCATCACTTTGTATCCTCTCACTTTGCTTTATTTTTCTTCCTAGTACTCACCCATGCATCATGTTATGTTATGGCTGTTTGCCTACAACCTGTCTTTCTACTAGAATGTTCCATAAAGAAAGGGACTTCAGTCTAGTTCATCCTTAGTATAGCCCTAGGCTAGAAGTTATGAAGTCACTTGATGGGTTCAATTAAATCAATAAACAAACATACTGTTTTTGTTTTTTTTGGGTGTATGTGTGTTTCCTCCTTCTTTGAACACTTGGGACCAAACCCAGGGGTGTTCTACACTGAGCTATATCTTCAACCTTTCTTATTCTGAGACAGGGTCTTGCTAAATTATCCAGGTTGTCATCAAACTGCGATCCTCCTGCTTCAGCCTCCAGAGTAGATGAAATTCACAGTGTTGATCTTATGAGAGGGAACACTTAGAAGCTGATGCAAATGACATTATTTCTAAAGCCTGATTTCCTAAATATACCCTAATTCATTAAAAATGTATTTGGGACATAATATTTATATGTCTCTATATTACCATAAAGATATGGTAATACCTTATCACAAACAGGATTTATTTTTAGGTACTTAGGTAGAACCTAGGGCTTTCTGCATGAGCTCTCTCATTCCCAGACCTACAAAATTACTTTAAGGCTGCTATTGATGAGATTTACTAGAATTTTAAAATTACTTAATATACTTCTGCAGTGAGAAAACCATTGAATGGTTCTTTTTTTTTTTTTTAAGAGAGAGGAGAGAGAGAGAGAGAGAGAGAGAGAGAAAGAGAATTTTTAATATTTATTTTTTAGTTCTCGGCGGACACAACATCTTTGYTKGTATGTGGTGCTGAGGATCGAACCCGGGCCGCAMGCATGCCAGGCAAGCTCGCTACCGCTTGAGCCACATCCCCAGCCCCCATTGAATGGTTCTTAATGTACTAAGTTTGTCTGGAATCTGATAAATTTGCTAATGAAAAAATGTTATTAGAAGTTAAGCAGTTAAGAAATGATAAAACAGGAAGTTTTCATGAAACAGATTTCCTGTATTTGTTGATAGTTGACTTTTATCAGGGTGTGATACCAACATATAAGACTGCTTCAGGTACCTCTGTGGGAGTAACAAAATTCAGTGTATGAATATTTTATCTTGACTGTATTTAATTTCAATGGAGTATGACAAATATATTAATGCATATACCTAGAGGAGAGAAATAAATGAAATCATCTTTTTACCATTTAGCAGTCAGATTATCTGTAGTATTGTACTAGAACTTGATATTGTCATTAAAAATCACCAGCTGGAACAAACCAACAATAAGAGAATTCATTAATACAAAACCTTACCTTTCATTCCAGCTCTCTCTGTATCATCAATAGTTAAAAGTATTTCTACTGCACTTTGAGCATTATCAGATAACTTTTCATCACCTTCTGGCCAAGGGATATCTATAAATATAAATACACAAATAAACTTGTTAATTGCTGTTTAACAGATAAATGAATCTATCTTAATCYTTCAAAGAGAAAAATAGGAGAAAATGAATCACCTCTTTTCAGAATATTCTGGAATACTTGTTGTGGTGTCTCATCATTAAAAGGGGGAATTCCAGTTAGAAATTCAAACAAGCAAACTCCAAGTGCCCACCAGTCTACTGCAGGACCTGGAATTTAGGAAGAAATAGCTGAATTTGCAAGTATTTTTCCATAAATATCTGATMAACTGAAATATCAGTGTAGAGATATTTGAGTATAATCAAGGCTTTCATTGGCTAAGGCTTTCTACTGTCTTMATATAGTTCAAAAATCCAAAAACATATTACTTTCCTCTTTATTTTCTAAGTAATTTAGACTGGCAACTAGCACAGCTATTTAAAGGAACAGTAATGCCATTTATTTTCATTTATTAATAACTTCTGATATCCTGGGTATTTTATATGTTCTAATTCCTAAAACACAACAAAAGGATGCATTTAACCTAAAGAATATTCTCTAAGACATGCTATTTCTTAAATTTGAGTCAGGAATAATTACATTTAGATGATTATCTGTATTCCACTGTGTCACAAAAGGAAGAGATGAGATAGAAACATTTACACAACTTGGAAGATGGCTTGATAAGGAGGGAAGGCCCTAATTACAGAATGTTTTAATGTGTCTTTATTCTTTTTAAGAACCTAAGACAAATTAGTTTAACAAAATATTTAAATTCTGGCTTGAAGAAGAAATTAGGAGATAATAAATAGGTAAAACTGATATCTGAATAACATCTTTATTGAAAACAATATTTGTATACAAAGTTGTTGTTTTTTATTTTTGAGAAGGGACTCACTATATTGCCCAGGCTGGCCTTGAACTCCTGGGCTTAAGTAATCCTGCTGCTTCAGTCTCCTTAGTACCCAGAATTATAGGCATGTGCCATGCCCAGCTATACAAAGATTTTTTTAAATGATTATGTTAATCATGACCATATAAATTGGTTTATACTTTCATTTCTGTTTATGAATAGTATTTTCTATAGAAAGATTAATTTTTGATAAAAATGGTTAATTTTAAAATTAAGAATTTGTAGCTAAGTTTGCTACAAATTATTCTTTTATACATTTATTATTTTCTTTAGTACTGGGGACTTAAAAGCACAGGGGCACTTTGCCACTAAGCTACATCCTAGCACCTTTTATTTATTTCACTTTTTGAGACAAGGTCTCAATAAGTTGAGGTTGGTCTTGAACTTTTGACCCTCCCGCTTCAGCGTCCCAAATAGCTGGTATTAGAGAGATATACCATTGTACCTGGCTTCTTTCTTTTCCCTTTTTTTTCCTTCCTTCCTTCCTTTCCTTTCTTTCTCTCTTGCCCTTCCCCTTCCTCCCCCTCCATCTCTTCCTTCTTCCCCCCTCCATCTCTTCCTTCCTCTCTTTTCCTCTGAACCCAGGAGCTCTTAACCTCTGACCCACATCCCAGCATTTTAAATTTTGAAACAGTTTCTTGCTGAGCTGCAGAAGGCCTCASTAAGTTTCTGAGGCTAGCCTTGAACTTGTGACCCTCCTACCTCAGCCTCTAGAGCCATGGGGATAATAGGCATATGCCACTGTGCCTGGCTTGCACCCAACTTCTTTAAAGACAATTTCACAAACTTTATTATTGTAGTTTTAAGCAACGACCACCATCCCATTTTAAAAGAAGTAAGAAAGCATTGTGGAAAAAACTGCATGCATTTAGAGTACCTTTTTACCTGCAAACTCCATAATCCCCTGTTCCCTTTGAGGATTATAAGATGCTAATGGTCTGTAGGTTTCTATTTCTATAGAAATCATTATAAAAACATACAGACCACCTCAGTTAGTACACTTTTTAAGCAGCATGGAGAATTATTCCAATGGATTAGATAATATAACCAAATAACAGGAAAGCTGGAAGAAATCAGGAAAAAATGTATTTTTATTTACCTTGAGTTAGACATTAGAACCCATACCCAGCTCAGCTGAAATTGTACTTGTGTTAAAAGCATTCATGATTTCTCCACAGATATGTCACAGATACCCATATACTTAAGTCAAAGTCTAATAAGACCACATATTGAGATAAATCTTAGTAATTACAACACTTTATTAGCTGGAGAAAAAGAACAAGGTTGTTTTATATTACTGGCTTTCTAACTCAAAACCCATTCATAATTTGTAGGGATATATTGATATTGTTATCTTTCTATTTTCTAATAGTACAGAAATTTAAAATGTAGAAAATTCAATTTTAATAAGTTCATCAAAACTATTGCTTCTGTTGTCATAAAAAGCTTATCTCTTTACTCTTTGATACCTTTAAGTTATAAAAAAATGTCATTACCTACATTTCTTTTCACAAACAACCATCTTTCTGGATGTCTTTCTGCTCAGAACACAGAGACAGTTCAGTATTGTATTGAGCTTAAAGTAAACATTGTTTTATTATGCAATGTGATCTAGTTACACTTTGACTATGGTTTAATGTGCTCTGCCACGTTACTTTATAGAGAAGYTTACTTACCTGAAGTCAGAAACCCTGCATGTAAGAAAACAATAGTTAGGTACACTCTGTTAAAATTGTGAGTTAATTCCCTCACTATATTTAAGGTAGTGTACCAGATATAAGATGAAATCGGCCTTCTCAAGAAGAGATAATATAGATATTTTTAACGCAATGTTAAAATAGCCGAAACACAAATGTGCCCAAAAGTTACAAGAAACTCAGCTTGTTTGAGGGACAAGATGATGGAAGTCATCTGAGAACCTTGCTTAGGGCCTTGCTAAGWTGCAGAGGCTGGGTTTGAACTCGCAATCTTCCTGCCTCAGCATCCTAAGTTGCTAGGATTACAGGCATGTATGATGGTGCCTGGCTTGGTTTAGTTTTATTTCCATGGTGTGAGGGATTGAATCCAGGGCCTCACACATGCCAAGCGAGTACTCTACCACTGAACTATATTCTCAGTCCCCAAGTTTCTAATAAGGTGATACAGAAATAAATCTTAGTAGTTGGTCAAGGGATRCTTTATAAAGATAAAACATTTGAACTCACGATGAGATGAGAAGAAATTTGGATAATGACTGTCAACTAAAACAAAATACATGTGCAAAATAAGGAAGAGTTGGACGTTAAATGTATTTCATTAAGAAAAGGAATGAAAGCATAAAGCATATAAAGAGATTCTTTGAGATGAACTTAGAGTCTTGAGCATTATGATCAGGAATTTGGATTTTGTTTAGCAGATCAGAGGGAACCATCATAGTTTTTCCCTCCAAAAAAAAGTAAAACAAAACAAAACAAAAAAMCAGAATGAACCATAGTTTAGGAAGAAAAATCTGGTTGCAATGATTACAGACAATAGAATGAAAATGAGAAGATCAGATAGAAGGCCATTAAAATAATGAAAGACAAAGATGAGGTTCTTAGAACAGTAGCAGAGATGAAAAGCTCTGCAGAGATCTAATTAAATGGATTTAATGCCTGAATGTAGGGATGATTGTCTCCATGGAGATGGTGAAACAAATAGGGAACAGAGAGTGAGCTGGATAACAAGTCCTGTTTTTACATGCAACACTTGAAAGATCAGTAGAATGCTGACTAGGCAAGTTGGGCTGTGTGTCTGCTGCCTAGGGAAAGGATTAGAGATAGAGATTTGGGGATCATCCAAATGGAGGTAACAATTAAAGTCCTTTGGAGTGAGGAGATTAAGGGCTGTGGGAAGGGAACAGAAGCATGGGGCAATATCTTGAAGAACTACTCAGTCCTGTATCCAGTGCTGTGGGTAGAAAATACTTGAAAAAAAACTGYATCTGTACTGAACTTGTACAGACTTCTTTTTTGTCTTATAATTATTCCATAAGTACAACAACTATTTAAATAGCCTTTAGACTGTATTAGATATTATAAGTAATGTAGAGGTGGTTTAAAGTATAYAGGAGGATATACATAGTTTATATGCAAATATTGTGCCATTTCCCCACCACCACCACCTTTTATTTTTAACTGTGCTATTTTATACAAGGGACTTGAGCATTCACAAATTTTAGTAGTCTTTGGGGAATCATGAAACCAATCCCTCATGGATATTGAGGGAATTATACTTGACAGACATAAGGGAAAAAACTTGACAATTGTAATAGAGGTAAGGGGAATGAGACTGAGAAGAAACTATTGGTTTGACAATAAGGACGGTGGTAATAGTTAAGAAAAGTTTCAGTTAAATAGCCAAGCTAACAAGCACATTACCAGAACAAAAATAATCAGGCAAAGAAAAGAGGCAACCTTTGAGACTTTTCACAGTGAGGTCAAGACAAAAGTAGAAACTTACTTTCAGGCTGGGGATAAAAACAAGCAAAGAAATAAAAATAGAAATGGTGTGAGACATCGAGTGGGGAGGATGAAACAGGTGATAACCAAAGGAGCCCAAATAAAAGGAAAGTAATTAACATCAAGATGTTAAAGAAGAAATTCATCTTATGGACTGAATTGTCACTTCTGCAAAAAAAAAAAAAAAAGTATATTAAAGTCCAAACTCCCAGGATGGTGATGTAGCTCGGGGACAGAGCACCTGACTGGCATGCCCAAGGCCCTGGGTTCAATCTCCAGTATCACAAAATAAAACAAAACACTGAACAGAAATTCATGCCCAACATTATAGTCATACTCATTGTAGACCAGACATGAAACATTTAGAGCAAATATAATGTAGGGGGTGGGAGGTGGAGCTTCTCTATATTATGACACTGAATCAAAGAAGGCAAAGGATAGTCAGACACAGTGGTATACACCTGTAATCCCATTGGCTCAGGAGGCTGAGACAGAAGGATCATGAGTTCAAAGACAGTCTCAGCAAAAGTGAGGTGCTAAGCAACTCTGTGAGACTCTGTCTCTAAATAAAATATAAAATAGGGCTGGGAATGTGGCTTAGTGGCCAAGTGCTCCTGAGTTCAATCCCTGGTACTCCCTCCCCCCTCAAAAAAAGGGCAAAGGACAAATAGTTGCATGTCCTTTAGTATTTGGTCTTCTACATTCAGAAAATAACAACCATTTCTTTTTCTTTTTTCTTTTCCTACAATAATATATGGGTGAAAAGAGTATTTCAAGCTGAATGTGATGGCATAAACCTATAATTCTCACTACTTGGAAAGCTAAGGCAGGAGGATCGTAAGTTTGAGGCCAGTGTGCGCAATTTATTGAGACCCTGTCTCAAAATAAAAAAGGGCTGGGGATGAAGCTTATTGATGGAACACTTGCATAGAATGCTCAAGTTCAATCCCCAGTACTGTTAAAAAAAATACATAAGTATATTTTCTTTTACTTTAAGTTAGTAAGGTAAGTATCAAACTTAAAACAATTTTTACCTTAAAAGATAAATGTAGTAATAGATCATGATCCAAAACCCAAGACATACAAGTCTTACCATGGGCTGTGCTCAATAACAGCTCAGGTGCCAGGTAGTCTGGGGTTCCTAGAATTCGCCCATCATCCATTGGGGCTGCCCCTCTTCTCACACTTTTTGGAGTTCGGTATGAAGTTCCTGATTTGATCTGATTTGGGGTCTGCTAATTCAAAAGGATTTTAAGAGACAATAAATAAATCTTAATTCTTTTTACCAAAAGTAAAGTACTAAAATTAAAAAAAGCTAGATCATGGACTGGTAGGTATATAAGATACACTCAATGGGTTCACAACTAGTTGTAATTATGAAAAAGTCCTTACATGTAATGAAATTCAGTAGCTTAGATAACATCAATTATTTTGATAACATCTAGATACACAAGAAACAATGAAAAGGTGCACAATTTTTTTTTTTTTTGTACCAGGGATTGAACTTAGGGGCGCTTAATCACTGAGCTATATTCTCAGCCCTTTTTAATTTTGAGATAGGGTCTTGCTAAATTGGCTAGGGCCTTGCTAAGTTGCTGAGGCTGGCTTTGAACTCTTGATCCTCCTGCCTCAGTCTCCTGAGCTGCTGGGATTACAGGTGTGCGCCATAGTGCCTGGCAAGAAAAAAAAAATTGACAGTATGGATAAACACAAAGCTTAGGAAGATTTACTGAGAAAAGTTGTTGCTGACAAATGATTGAATTATTAGGACAATATGTGATAAACTAAATATAAACAACCTCCTGTACTTACTGGCATTTAAAAGGTTTTAAGAAAATTGTTTAACAATCTTTTGAGTCCTGGAGGACCAGTACTGCATATAGTTGGAAAAATAGGCTCTGAGGTTGAGGCACTTCTAAGTCCTAAGTAAGTTMTAGTTTTATAACCTAAATTCAGAGTTCCTGCTTTTTGTATTATGATGTCCTTCCAAAGGAAGAAAAAATATAAAGCTTTTGGTTTAAAAGGTAAGGTTTAGAAAATAAACATAATTTGTTGTTATTTTTATTTACTTATTTATTGTTACCAGGGATTGAACCCAGGAGCATTTAACCACTGAGACACTTCCCCAGCCCTTTTTTATATTTCATTGAGAGACAGAGTCTCACTGAGTTGCTTAGGGCCTGGCTAAGTTGCTGAGGCTGGTCTTGAACTTGTGATCCTCTTGCCTCACCCTCCTGAGCTGCTGAGATTACAAGCATGAGCCACAGCACCTAGATTGTTATTTTAATTATATACATTTTAACTTTTTTTCTATAACGAGATCATCTAAAYGTGTCCTTGGAAGACACTAGGTTAMGAGTAGATTTTAATTTGTCAGGATTAACCCAACTACTACATATAACCATAAAGCTCTATTAATAAAGGAAGAAAGTAGACTTTAATTTTGTATTGTATAGTATTGCTGAGATAAAGTAAAAATGTGTGATTATATTTGCTTAGAAAAGTATACTGTGCTATACAAATGAAAGTTACTATTGTTAGGTAATAAACATTATTACTACAGTTTTACCATTCTGCAAGAAAACTTCCAACAATTCATAGATTCTTGATAAGGAGAATGAAACCATACAGTTAATTAATACCTTATACTCTACCTGAGAGGTGAATGTCTTTCTTAATAATTTACTTTTCTAAAATTCAAAGAACAAATTATTAAAAAGCTGTAATGTACCTGATATGGCATATAGGGTGTTCCTTTATGAGTAGGGGTGATAGCCATGGGATCTGAGCCAGTATAACCACATGAAATATCCATTGCATCAAAAGAAGTGATGCTCATCTTGGATGGTTCTGAATTATTGGATGCATTAATATGACTATTAAAACTTCGAAAAACTACAGCATTTCTTTTATAAAGAGTTAAGGTCTTCAATACATCTGAAGAAGGAGCTAATATTTTTTGGTTATTATCTTGGATAACAGGGTTCTCATCTTGTTTTGGCAAGGTATTTTCTTGGCAGTTTGGTGATACAATAAGTAGATCTTCAATATTTGATTCTTCAAAAGAGGATTCCTTGAAACTTTTATCTGGATCTAAGGATTGTCTTTCTAATGAACTTTCCATGATAGAACTTCCAGGAAAAGACAAATCTGAGTCCATATTAATACTTTTGGGACCTCTATCATCATCAGAGCATAGAAAATTAGAATTTAAGTAGTCCTTATTAGTCTTTTCACAATCTTCCTCTAGTTCACACATAAGGTTTTTTGCTATCGTTGGTATAGGTAATTTTTCTGATGTTTGTTGTTCATCAGTAAAATAATCGACAATGTTTTCCTTATTAGCACAGTCATTTTGCTGACTTCTGTGCACTGATAATTTCAACTTCTGAACTTCAGCTGTTAAGCCTGAATTTTGATTTGTGTTACAATTCATCATACTATGGTTATACTCCCCACAGTTTTTTTTATTTTGTATAATTTCCTGACAAGGACTAGAGTCAACCAACTCAATTTTTCTTTTTAAACTTTTTTTTCCAAGGTGCTCTTCAGATACATCACTAGAATTTACATTCCACTGCTTTGACTCATGGAAACTAGACTGAATTGTGTCAGTAGCCATATTTACATTAATTACATCCAGTTCTCTTGCTTCCCAAGAAACTTCCCCAGAGAAGCATTTTTTAGCAAGGTTTACACAAGAGCTTCCAGTGGCAGGAATGGCACTGGGGTTGTGAATGGGAGAAAGGGCTAACTCAAGATCCTTTATATGGAAACTTTTGGTCTCAACAGCATTTGCAGATTTTGCACATAACTTGTCAACTGTATTCCAACTCATCATTGTAGAGCCCGATGCTTCATCACTTTCCTGAGAAGAAGAGAAATACTTTTTTAGTTTTATAAAGCTGAGATTCTTTTTTCGGGGGGATGGGAGGCTATCAGGGATTGAACTCAGGGGCACTCGACCACTGAGCCACATCCCCAGCCCTATTTTATATTTTATTTAGAGATGGAGTCTCACTGCGTTGCTTAGCACCTCGCTTTTGCTGAGGGTGGCTTTGAACTCATGATCCTCCTGCCTCTCTACCTTCTGGCCATCTAGGTATGATATATAACCCATAAAATATAATGCTACCTATTTTCACTAAAMCAAAAGGACAATAATCACAGAGAATTAAAAAGAAATATAAGCAMATAGAGCATAAGTTTATGCACATTATTTTGAGTGAAACATAATCTGAAATATAAGTCAATTATCCTTTATTACGTAGGTTGATAGTATACTACATATTATTATGAGTAACATATTTAGGCAAATTTGGACATTATGTATATATCTGTTTTGTAGTAGGGGTATATGAATGATTCTGTTTCAAAGTACAAAATGCCTAGAGCTTGAAAATTAAACAATAAAAAATTAAATGGCAAAAACATTGTTATTAAACATGTATCACTTCGAATGAATAATAATGCCAAAAATAGCAGGAATTAAAATCTTTTGTCAATATGAGGAACTGATGATACATTGATAACAAAATGCTTTTCTCAAAACTGAATTCCAACTATCTGCAAGTGTTCATGTATACGCAATAGCTTTGTATGTAATATTGCAAAATAATTCATGGTGACAAGGATTTTTATAAGATTACTCCATTAGAGTGATGCTTTTTATTATTTATTTATTTAAGTTGTAGATGGACATAATACCTTWATTTAATTTATTTATTTATATGTGGTGCTGAGGATTGAACCCAGTGCCTCACATGTGCTAGGCAAGTGCTCTACTACTGAGCCACAACCCCAATSAACCATTAGAATGATTCTTCAGTAAACTCTTATATTGTCTATTTTTGAAGTACAAATATCAAACTTTAATAACTATTATTATCTTACTTAATAAGGAGGATCATTTAGTTAACAACCAAAAAGGAAATTCCTGAATTACAATTCATGATCTCACAAGCACAGAAAAAGATGTATTTAGGGATCAGTACAAGGTTATCAGAGAGCTCCTTATGGTCCATTATCACTCCTCTGATCACAACTTGAGAAGCACTACTATAATCTAACCTTTGTGTTCCTCAAGGATGCAGAAGTGGGAGGAAAAAAAGGAAAGCTGTATATGTTTTTCCTATAGCATATATTATTTATAGCACAGCCTATAAAGAGAGGAGAAAAAAATTACTGAGAATAAAAAGCAAATAAATATAATCCAAATTATTTATTTTATCAAATGGAAGGTTTATTCTAATCTAACATTATTTTATCAGCATTCTTTGAAGACATWATTATACTTTTACATTTTAGTTCCTATCTCTTTTAGTACTATAGCTTTAAAAACTTAATAAAGTAAAAGCAAAGTGAGGCTGAGGCAGAGAGCACTCTCTAGAGAGAGACGGGGACATCTCCAATCAGAGAATGACACGGAGACAATGCTGTTTCCAAATTTATTACTGTTTCTAGCTTTAATAACCTTCTTTTGGTGGGAAGGGGTAACGGGGGATTGAACTCAGGGACCCTCGACCACGGACCCACATCCCCAGCCCTATTTTGTATTTTATTTAGAGACAAGGTCTCACTGAGTTGCTCAAGGCCTTGCTAAATTGCTGAAATTTGAACTCACAATCCTCCTGTCTCAGCATCCCGAGCCACTGGGGTTACAGTCGTATGCCACCATGCCTGGCTTAAYAACTTTTTTAAAAGGCAAAAACAATACATAGATTAAGTAAATTAATTTAACAAAATCCACTCGTTTGGTGAGCAGTCTCCTCAGAATAGATACTTTTAAGGGCATACCCCTATTACCTTTRTGGTATAAAAGCTATTTCTAAAGAGTTACCATTCCTTAAAGTGAGAAATTAGTGGGAAAAAGTATAGAAGGAGGTATTTGGAGTTCTAAAGATTAGAAGCAAATACACAAAACAAAAACCTCAATATGCTGGTGTGTGTATCATAGTTGGGAATTAAAAAGAAAAGCCCATCTAGATTCCTAGAAGCATTTACTATAAGTCTACTATAATTATTTAATCAGTATATTTTAAGTAAGAGCAGTTTCCCAACAAAATGAGAAATAAAATATTTCAAAAGAATTGGCAACAAATGAAGAATTTTTGATAATATCTTGAGTGTCATTCATGAAACAATTTCATTTCCTTATAGGGTTTATATGAAAAGCTATGGTGTCTTTCTCATTCATTTGATAAACACATTTGGTTTTGAGTAAAATAAATGTTCTCCTAACCTGGCAATCCTTTTCCCATTTGGGACTGCTGTGACACTCTGATTCCACACTGGATACAAAGGTGTGGGATTGACTACTGGCACTAGAGGTAGCCAGTCTTTTCCTAGACTGGAGCAGATTTGAAGTTAGACATTTCACAGGAACTCCTGGGTTGGAGGCAAATGTTTCAAGACCTGTAGGAAAAAGTAAATATTGAAACTTATGTCAAAGCTTTCTTAATTCCTCACTGAACCTGAATCTTTACTGATATTAGGCACTGCATATCAGGACTGTTTCTTTGTAAATACTATCAAGTCTACAAGGATGCCTATAGGTGGTTGGGGCCTGATTCTCATTATAGATTCATAAATTGTTACAAAGTACTGCTCACAAAGATAATACAAAACAAACTCCCCTTAACATTTGTAAAGTTAGAATCAAGATAAGGGATTCTTACAATTAGAAGGGAATCCATTTTTTTTTTTCAGTTTTTTTTAGAGAGGAGAGAGAGAGAGAGAGAGAGAGAGAGAATTTTTTTTTTTAATATTTATTTTTTAGTTCTCGGCGGACACAACATCTTTGTTGGTATGTGGTGCTGAGGATCGAACCCGGGCCGCACGCATGCCAGGCGAGTGCGCTACCGCTTGAGCCACATCCCCAGCCCCTAGAAGGGAATCCATTTTGAGTTACTAATAATTCTGGATAAAGGAGCATAATTTTTTTTAGTATTTTTTTTCAGTTGTAGATGGACACAATGTCTTTATTATTTATTTGTTTATTTATTTATTTAAWGTGGTGCTGAGGAATAAACCCAGGGCTTCATGTGTGGGAGGCAAGCACTTTACTACTAAGCCACAWTCCTCTATACCTGTCCTCACCACAAAACTACAAATTATCAGAGGCCAGGACCTCATTTACTCATTGTTATACCCACTCAATGACCAGCACAGTGCCTATCTAGTTTTGATAGATTATTTGAACGACTAAGAGAAATGCAGAATAAGGATATTACATCTGTATATTTCATATTTTAACAGTCTTCTGTTTGTCAAAGTTATACTTTTTTTTTTTAATTTAGCCATGTGATTTTGACAGAAGAAATAACACTCATTACATTTGGAGGACAAATTTAGTGGACAGAAATGTATTTGCAATCAAGATTCAGTTTCCCACTTACTACTACTGTATAACTAAAACTTTCTTTCTTTGGTACTGGAGATTGAACCCAGGGGTTTTCTACAACTGAGTCCTTTTTATTTTTTATTGTGAGAGAAGATCTTATTAAATTGCTGTGGATGGTCTCAAATTTGCAATTCTCCTGCCTTAGCTTCTCAAGTTGCTGGGATTATGGGTATGTGCCATCRTGCCCAGCCTAAATATTTTCAAATATTAGTTTTCTCATTTGTAAAAAAGGAGACATTAGTATAATATACTAGATATGTACAGTTTAGTCAAGGGCAAAATAAAAATGAGCTAAAACCTATGAAAATAACTAATAACTTCATCAAATTCATAACCTAAATAACATGAGTTCAGAGAATTATCCACTATCAATAAGTAATAAGGGATGAAGTCAAGTGCTATATAAACATCTGTCCCATTCTCCTCTACTGTTTTACATTTGTCTTTTAWGTCATGCAAAAAAAATCCTCAAAATTTTAAATTTAAACTACCTCAAAATCTTTTGGAATTAGGCTTATAGAGATAATCAACACTGCAGGTACTATATCTTCTTTTTTAAAAATTTTTTGGTAGTTGTAGATGAACAGAATGCCCTTATTTTATTTGATTATTTTTATGTGGTGCTGAGGATCGAACCCAGTGCCTCATGCATGCTAGGCGAGTGCTCTGCCACTGAGCTACAGCCCYAGTCCCCTATATCTTCTTTATAAAAGATTTCCACAGACCCAGTTTAGTGAAATTGACCACTACCATAGGTCACTGAAGGATATCTCATTAGCTAGACATTTTATTGTCAACTTAAAAATCATTGCAATCCCTATCAGCAAAGACATTTATGAAATACAGGACAATCCAAATATTTACATTTTAAATTATTAAATTGATATTAGAAATTGAAACATTGGAAATATTTTTGTTTTTTAAGAGACACTGAATGGAGTAAAATATCTTTTCTTTTATACTCACATGATTTTAGTAGTTTGCTAGAATAAGGATTAGCCTCCTTTTGATCTATAGACATAGGACAAATTAATCCTTGAGAAAATTGTGTTGTTTCAGACAGATGAGTTGAAATGTTATCTRTAGAGTCTTGATTTTTTTCTGCAACTGGTGTGAACTATTAAAAAGAGAAAATTAAAGAAACATTAAGAGTCATCTTCACAAAAACATCACTGAAGTGTATAGACTTGTACCATCTATGTAGACAAACTTTCAAAGTAAAAACCACCTCATGCTTGATATTTCAATTTGYTTTGATCTTTTTCYTTTTTAAAGGATTTTAAATTTTAAGGCTTTTTTTTTTTTTTCCTGGTGCTGGGGATTGAACCCAGGGCCTTGTGCATGCAAGGCAAGCACTCTACCAACGGAGCTACATCTCCATCCCCATTAAATTTTAAGTTTTAATCACAGAAGGGTATATATATGTTGAGTTTTTTCTTATCAAGTACTTACAAATCTCAAAGAACTGATGAGAGATAATACTTGTCCTGGGGTTCTTGAATAATCTTCTTTAGGTTTAGCCATTGAAGGTGTTGTAAGGATATCCATCATATTGATATCTATGTATGCAAAAGAAAGTATATGAAATTTCTTTAAAATCTCCCATTGTCATCGACTAAGATGTTAATAATGTGTTCTCAAATTTGCTCCCACATTATTAATTTTATCTACAAAACTGGCTTATGCAACATATATATATGTTTTCCCTATATATGTATGTACAGGGAATCATCTACRGTGCCATAGAAGAAATACTAGTTAATTAACTGAAATCATTAAAAAGTTGATAGAATACTGTCTTACTCAGAATGAAAATAACTCAGAATCCTATTAGCTTTTTAGGGAATACTCAGTGACTGAAAATGAGTGTTACCCAACTAGCAAGAAAATGATCTTTAGGTAAATAAAATATTGGAAAAGGAGGTAGTAAGGAATTAATACAAATATGGGCCCCTCATGTTAACAAATATATCTAAGCTTAGGTCAAGATAGAAATTCACCTCTATTGCTAACGTGTTTCAGTACACACTATTTTAAAATAATTAAACATTGACACATAACACCATATTTTTTCTTAGATATCAAAAATGGTATGAGAAGTCTAACGTTCTGTATATGGCATAGGACTTAAAAAAAGTAGACTTAAATTTAACTTAAATTTAATTTATACCTCACACTGATGAAGTAATAAAAGCCAATAGGTATCAGGCATGGTGGCATGTCTGTAATCCCAGCAGCTCAGAGGGCTGAGACAGGATGATCTTAAGTTCAAACCCAGCCTCAGCAAGGTGAGGTGCTACGCAACTCAGTGAGTCCCTGTCTCTAAATAAAATACAAAATAGGGCTGAGGATGTGGGATGTGGCTCAGTGGTCAAGTGACCCTGAGTTTAATCCCAGAACCAAAGAGGGGGGGGGGAAATCCAATAGGTAATAGTAACTAATCTTAAAGGATATTTTATTAAAAAAAAATCAGAGTCATATGATGTAAAAATAATTCAAATTTCTGATAATATCATCCTACTACAAAAAACTGTAAGGTATTCACAATTGTTTGAAAATTATAAAAAGAATTGTAGCATTACATATATTCTCAAGTAGTTATAATTCCAGGGTTTATAATTCATAAGCTCAATTTTAGGTTTCTGTTAATTTATTTTTAAAAAATGCCTTTCCATCTTTCTAACCTTCTGCAGTGCATGTGTGTTGTTGGGGATTGAACCCAGAACCCATRGGAAAATGCTCTACCATTGAGCTATATATCCTCAGTCTACTTCTATGCTTCTTAATAGTGAATACAATATGTTTTCAAGATGACAATCTATCATCTATCTGTTTCTGTGATGAAGTTAAGTGACTTCTTATTTCTACCCATTGGAAACAATGCTGCTACAAATAATTTTATTTGCATATATTTTGTTCTCTTGAATAATTTCCTTATAAATTCTAAAACATAAGATCAAAAAGAATTAAAACCATTTTAAAAAAATATTTACAGCATTTCTTTAGAAAGTACTATGCTAATTTATAATGCCCATCAAAAAACAGTTTTTGTAGTCTCATTAACTAGATCATCAGTATTCCTTTTTGATATATACTTATTAGTGTAAGATGKTTCATTTTTTAAAAACATTTTTAGTTGTAAATGACACAATACCTTTATTTTTATTTATTTTATTTTTACGTGGTGCTGAGGATCGAACCCAGTGCCTCACATGTGCTAGGAAAGAGCTCCACCAATGAGCTACAACCCCAAAGCAGATGGTTAAACTTTTTTTTTAATATTCATTTTTTTAGTTGTAGTTGGACACAATACCTTTATTTTATTTATTTTTATGTGGTGCCATGGATAGAACCCAGGTCCTTGCACGTGCTCCTGTTAACAAATGTGCTAGGCAAATACTCTACTGCTGAGCCACAACTCCATCTCTGATGGTTAATTTTTTACATTAACATTTATTAAATCACTACTAGTGAAATGAACATATTTTCTCATATATACATATGTGTGAATTATGTGTTCATTTTCTTTGTTCCTGTGTTTATCACTTAGTGATGGCCATAAATATTTGAATTAGTTTTTAGCTATTATTAATACTTCATCATATTTTAATAGTTTAGTCATTTTATTGATGCTTAAGTGTAAGGACCAGTTTCAGTAGGGAGAAAATTCAGAAGACCAGAAATTCTGAGTTCCTTTTGAACATCAAAGGCTTTTCAAGGACCTATAATCACATCGGCTGGGGTTGTAGTTCAGTGGTAGAACACTTGCCTAGCATGTGTGAGGCCTTGGGTTTGACCCTCAGCATCACATAAAAATAAAAAAATAAACTAAAGGTATTGTGTCCATCTATAACTAAAAAAAAAAAAAAAAAAAAAAAAAGAAGAAAAAGAAGAATCATGCCCATTTTTCATCTTTTTGTGTGTGTGTGTGTTTGGAATTGAACCCAGGGTTTCACACATGCTAGCATGTACTCTACCACTGAGCTGCCCACCAAGGTTTTCATTTGCTATGCAAAAAAAAAGACACTATTACATTTTTCTAGCCTATTTTAGAATAAATAACCATCAATTTWATTTGATGTAAATGAACAAAGAAAATAGTGTAAGTTAATGTCTCTAAAATTTATTGGACTTTTAAATAGACACATTTACCTGTTATTTTTCTTACCTCTATTCAGAGTCACTTTGGAGAGGCCAAAATCTGTCAGTTTAATATGACCCTCATTAGAAATAAGCATATTATCTGGTTTCAAATCCCTGCACATACAAAAGGCACAGTGGATAACTTTAAAAAATGGAGTTTTGATGTTAGAATGTCCAGGGTGAAAAAAGAGAGAGAGAGAAAGAGAGAGTATTATAGAAGAGGCAAATGTATTTCCTTTACAATAAAGGCACTCATTGGTAGTTTTGAAAAGTACGGAAAACAACTCTGAAAAGCAAAAACATCTTTTTCGTATTATTTGAATCTACAAAAATGTTAAGTGATTGTAACTAGATTATCTTTGTCATTATCCATTAATACAAATAATCTCATTAAATAAAATCAACCTCAAGTCATTCAAAATACATCTCTCTCTTTAAATGAGGTAAAATTATGCTTTAACAGAGCAGAGTCACATAATCATTCTTTGTACAGAGGAAAACAGTGTAAATCAGCAAGGTTCACAATATAGCATGTTATGGTAGGAACAGAAAAGGATTCAATATTCCTCATATTAAAATGCTATCTATGGTCATGTTGAAAACTATAAAAACATAGGAAGGTAAAACAAGAGTTAATGGAATTTGTAAACTCATATGAGTTGCTACTAAACTTTAGATAACCTGGAAGTATGGGCAGGTGGTTACTACAAATATTTGAGAGTCAAACTTTTTTTTTCTTTTGAGATACATTTCAATATGTTGCCCAGGCAGGCCTCAAACTTGTAATCCTTCTGCCTCAGTCTCGAGATTGTAACCTCTGGTACATAATCTGATTACCTGTATTTTTAATAATAGTTTAGAGAAAAGGTGATCTTTACCTGTGGATGATTCCATGTCTATGAAGGTAGTCTAGTGCCAATGCTACTTCAGAAATATATTTCACAGCCATCTCTTCATCAAAATAACCATATATATGTAGGAGAGACTTGACATCTCCACCAATAAGATACTCCATTATCTATGAAAAAGAAATTTAATGTTGTGGAATAAAATAATTAAAAAATAAAGTATTTGGGCATTATAGTCATATATTTTAAGACGATTCTATTAACAACACATTTTCTTTTTTTGTTTTCCTTTTAAATTTTTTGCAGTGCTAGGGATTGAACTCAGGGCATTCCATAAAAAGGCAAATGCTCTACTATTAAGCTATATTGCCAGCACTTAAAACACATTTTCCTATTATCATTCATTATATATTAACACCAGGCTTGCACATGTTACTATATAATTTTTAATTAAAATCTAAACTGGSTAATTTGAGCAAAATCCAGACTTACAGAAAAATTCGAAGACTATTAGAATATTTTCATATATTATTTATCTAGTTATATATGGAAGATATTCTAATATTCTTCATAATGTATATAAAATAAATTTTCAGTATATTATATATTAATATTTTATAGATTAAAACCAGTTAATATAATCAACATAAGCGTTATTTATTATACATGCAAGTAAATTTAAAAATTTAAACCATTTAATTWAAAAAAATAAATGGAAACATTACCAAATATGTATTATATATATATTAAAAAAAATTATTCATTTTTTAGTTGTAGTTGGACACAATATCTCCATTTCACTTGTTTATTTTTATGTGGTGCTGAAGATCAAACCCAGGGCCTCACACTTGCTAGGCTAGTGCTCTACTGCTGAGCCACAAAACCCTAGCCTATATATATGTATGTGTGTGTATGTGTATATATATATATATATATACATATATATATATCCCCCCAGTGACAGGATCCTGCTATGTTGTCCAGGTTTGTCTTCCAACTCCAGGTTCAAGAGATCCTTCTGAGGTGGGTGTGGTGGCACATGCCTGTAATCTAACAACTCAGGAGGCTGAGGCAGGAAGATCACAAGTTTGAGGCCAGCCTCAGCAATTTAGCAAGGCCTTAAGCAATTTAGCAAGGCTGTGTATCAAAATAAAATCTATAAAAAAAGAACAGGGTATGTAGCTCAGTGCCCCTGGGTTCAATCCTCAGTACCAAAAAGAGAGAGATCTTTTTGCCTCAACCTGCCAAGTAGCTGGAACTAAACATATGTACTACTACTTCCAGCCAATGTGTAATTTAAAATTTTTTTCCTGAAAAATTCAAGAATAAAGCTGAAAAGCTCATGACCTGTTACCACTAAATTTCTTATCATGTATCTCCTAGTAAGATATTATTATGTACCTAGAGTACAATGCTTTTTTTTTTTTTTAATTTTTGGTACTGGGGACTGAACTCAGGGGCACTCAACCACTGAGCCACATCCCCAGCCTTTTTTTGTATTTTATTTAGAGATAGGGTCTCACTGAGCTGCTTAACGCCTTGCTTTTTCCTGAGGCTGGCTTTGAACTCATGGTCCTCCTGCCTCAGCCTCCTGAGCCACTGGGATTACAGGCATGTGCCACCATGCCCAGTTTAGAGTATAATACATTCAATGAATTTCATACCAATATAATCCTATTATCTAACATATAATCCACACTGAAACTTCTCTGACCATTACAATATTGTCTTTTATTAGCATCTTTCCTCACTTCCATTCTCAAGCCAGGCCCATGCATGGCTTTAGTTGTTATATTCAATCTGGCAGTTTTTCAGCCTTCTTTTTGTTGGATAAAAACATTTTAAAAGAATATTTGTATGATACATTTTTTTAAGAATACAGATCTCCTTGAATTTGGGGTTATCTGATTATTTCTTCATGATTTGATTCAAGTTATACATTTTTTTTTTTAACCAGGAATTCTACCCAAGGGTGCATTACCAATTAGACACATTCCCAGCCCTTTTATTCTTTTCAGCAGGGTCTTGCTAAGTTGCTTAGGTCCTCACTAAATTGCTGAGGATGGCTTTGAACTTAAGATCCAACTACCTCAACCTCTGGAGCCACTGGGATAACAGGCATATACCACCATGCCCAGCCAGGTTATGTATTTTTGACAAAAATATTACAAAGTATGCTGAATCTTTCTCAGTTACTTCTAYCAGATGAGATATATAATGCAGATTTGGAGAGAGGTTTGTATTCTCTTCCCTTTTTTTTTTTTTTGGTAGTACTGGGGATAGAATGCAGGGTCTCAAAAATGAATGCTATAGGAAAGTGTTTTACCACTAAGCTACATTCCCAGACCTCTGCATTTCTAATAAGATTCCAGATGMTGCTGATGCTGCTTGTCTGTGGACTATATTTGGAGTATCAAGKATCTAAACCCATGGTGAAGTTAGGTAGACAAGATAGGGTTTACACATAAATAGGATTAAATTTCAAATATAAGTAAAAATAGTGGTGGGGATGTAGCTAGTGGTGGAGTATTATCTAGAATGTACAAGCCCTGGGTTCCATCATTAGCAATCACTCCCTGCCCACCCCACCTCCCCAAAAAGGAAAGAAAAATATTATAGTTGTTTACTTCTACTATTTCTAGGACATAACCTTTGGAAAAAATCTATCAAGTTGAGCAATTCTTGGACCTGCTCTTTCACTCACTGTTGGACTTGGTTTCAGGAAATTCCTGGTTTCCCATAGAGCTAAATTAGAATTGATGTTATAGCTGTAGTCATGGCTTTGGGGAAGGGGGTCATACATACTGCATATGAAACAGTATTTGTAAAGGCATTAGAGGACCTCAGGAAGAACTAAAGGATTAAATAACCCCTTACCTTCTTTGGATACGGCATAAATGAACGTTCCCTTGATAGTCTGTAAAGTTCTAAATAGTAAATATTTTAGATTTTACAGGACTTTATTGCAACTATTTCAGTCTGCTGTTGTAGTGCAAGAGAAGGCATAGATGACATGTAAACAAAAGAATGTGGCTAGGTTTTAATAAAACTTTATTTACTCTCTGAATTTCAAATTTCATATAATTTTTKGGGGGRTACCAGGGATTAAACTCAGGGGCATTCGACTACTGAGCCACATCCCCAGCCCTATTTTGTATTTTATTTAGAGACAGGGTCTCACTGAGTTGTTCAGTGCTTGGCTTTTGCAGAGACTTGTTTTCAACTTGCGATCTTCCTGGGATTATAAGCATGTCATTGTGCCTGGCAAGTTCATATTATTTATTTTTAAGATGGACACMATACCTTTATTTTATTTATTTATTTTTATGTGTTACTGAGTATTGAACCCAGTGCCTCACGTGTACTAGGCAAGTGCTTTACCACTAAGCTACAGCCTCAGCCCTTCATATAATTTTTATATATTGCAAAATACTATTTTCTTTCCAAACTTTTGAAAATACAAAAACTATTCTTAGTACACATAGTATATATTTTTTCTTTTTGACTCTGACAATGAATCATTCTAAAAAGATCTCCATCTCCACTCTAAAAAGATCTCTTCRAATCTTATTTCCTGAAGGGGCTGTCTTTAACCTGGCTTTGAGTGAGGACAAATTTGTGTCCTCACTCAAACTCCTTTCCCTTTGAATCACCAGGTCTCATCTCCCACATAAAGGAGTTCTTTATAACCAAGTACTGTAATTTACAATTCATTCCAGTTTTGAACAATAAAATAGTTAGAAAATCCTAAAACAAATTCATCAATAGTACATTTATTAAAGGAATTATGAAATTCATAATTTTATTAATGAAATTCTATTATCATTGAAAATGATGAGGTTACCATTAAGTGGAAAAAGCAGAATTATAGTATTTACAATATAACATTTTACCATTGACTAAAGTTGTGGTTTGTCAAAAAATGTTATTTTTCCTGAATTAGTCCTTATGCAAAAAAAAAAAAAAAAAGATACTCCCCACATCTCCAGAAGACATTTAAAAAAACTTTCCAAACTTTCTGCCCATCCTAGTAAATCTTTATACCACATTTGACAGCAGTCTAAAATACTTGAAGATTTGCTAAAAGACTAGAGATGGATTAAATTCTCAGGTACCAAAAGGGTTCTTAAATTAGACATAATTTTGAAAACCGAACTAAAGTATTCTTTGGATAGGATGAACATCTAAATCAGTAGACTCTGATAAAGGAGATTACCTCCATGATGTGATTAGCCCTTATCAGCTGAAGGCCTTTAARAGAAAAAAAGATTGATATCCCCAGAGGAAAGGGGATTCTGCCTCCAGAGCTACAACTTCAATCCTTCCTTGGGTCTTCAGGTTAACAACCTACCTTGCAGATTTTGGACTCACCAGTCCCCATGGTCTTCTGAGCCAACTGCTTAAAGTAAATCTTTGTGTCTGTTATGTATGTACACACACACACACACACACACACACACACACACACACCCTATTAGGTGTTTTTCTCTGGAGAACTCTAATACAACTGGCAACCTGGCCAAAATCATAAAGCTCTTGAGTGCCAGAATTCATATATGGATGGCTGAGTCCATGAAGAAAAAATGTAAAGCTATTTACTCACCAAGTAGACATTGTTTGCTGACTGCAGTGAATAATACAAGTGGACAATGAAAGGACTTTTGCTTAGTGCCAGTGCATCTCTCTCAGCTTGTACCTGATGAGTCATATTTTTATTGATCATATCTGCTTTTTTGACAACCTATAATAGAACACATGACAATAAAAACATTTTATTTTTTATTACAAAGTGTCCTCAGGTTCCAACATTRCCATCATAAAAATGAGAGAAAAAACAGATATTATTCACACCTCACACTGCCACCAGGAAATGGTACCAGAAAACTAGTAAGATGGTCAAACAAACAGCATCAAACCATTATTTTCAACATAGAACTGCTCATCTTGGTATTAAATGGCAAAATTATCACATCCATTTTGAGAAGGAAAAAGAATTAAATAAATGTTCCCTGACTGATTTGCATGTTTACAGAAGAGATTCTGTTCTGTTATTATAAAAAAGTCAAAAGATAGTAATGTTCCTAATTATTCCCCAGATAACCAGGAACTTRGATACAGTGTAATAGCACTATACATATACACATCCGTGTATGTGTGTGTGTGTCTTTATTTGTTTATTTATTTTAAACTTCTGATTCTCTAGCAGATAGGAACTGAATCAAAATGTTGGAAGTTTGTTTGTCTCACTTGAGCAAGAATGATTAGAATTAATGAAAGTCTCAGATGCTGTCTTACAGAAAACAACTAACTATATTTTTGAGTTTCAGGGTAATTGTCACAGAAACAAAAGTGTGATCTACATTAATGTTAGAGCTATGAACTGAACAGTAAGACACACTGGGATCAATTATCATTACTATTACAAGAAAAATGCATTTACCTAGTATTTAATACATCCATTAATACATGATAAATTCTAGCCTTACTGCCTTTCCTTAAGAAAACTAAAGGAAATTGACAAAGGAACCTTATAACGTGATTTCACCTATCATTCCACTGGGTTGGGAACTCTGTGAGGACATGTTTGCTTTGTTCATTACTGTATCCCATATCCCCAAATATTTATTTAACAAATTAATTGCTGCTTCCATTTGAACAATTGATAATGATTGATTACTATGTATGGTAGAAGGAAAAGCAAAAATCTTGGGAACATATAAGGCAAGTAACAATAAATTTCAACATGATGAGTCTGAAAGATCAAAGGTTTGAAGGACAGCAAAAATGAACCTTCATACAAGAATAAGATAGGTGAAGAGTCAGAAGGGTGGAAGAAAAGCACTCAAAGGAGAACAAACATAAACATAAGCTCCAAGGCAAGAAAATACATAGGTTAGGGGGATAGTCCAATTGGTGTTGCTAGACTTGGGAATGGAAGGAGGAGTTAGTAAAAAGAATGAAAGGCAGAATTGTGAGTACTAATTAGGAGTTATGATACACAAATGAAGTGGAAGAAAGTTAAATTGACTCAGGTTTCTAGTCCAAAGGACAGGGGCAATGGTAGAGTTATTAAATGGAAAGGGAATACAGGAGGTTCAGAGTTTAGACAGTAGGTGGAGGAGATTGTTTAATATTTGGAAAGTATAATTTGGAGATGAGTGATAAATATTCACTTGGCATTTTCTAACAGGAAATTCAAATTTCATCCAGTCCGTTGGATTTTCCTTTCCTTTACCTCCTTCACTCAGTGCTGAAGTGTGAATAAACTGAATCCTTGGGAGTGGATGAGAACCAAGAGTGGACAGAATAACTTCAAATACATGTTAAGGGTTTTTAAGAATGATATATACTGGTTTAAGGATAAAAGGATTGACTTACCACATTTTCATCTTGCTCTTTAAATGAAAATATATCCTAGACTCAGAGTGGAAAGTGTGAACAGAAAAAATATGAGATTTGTTTAATGAGACTTTTTGGTTGTATAAACAGGTCAAATAATCTATATCAAAAAATATAGAATGAAAACAACTATCACAAACAATGAAAATTCCAACCTTCATCCTGGTAAAGGCTATATTAGTAAAAAGGATCCAGAAGATACATAAAATGAATAGGTAATACTAATTTTAACAATTTCATAACAGATTTGAAAGTCATGTAGCTTCTTCCTGGTTAGGATCAAACTCTAAATTAGTGGCTACAAATTAATTAAACTGGGACAGAAAAATTTCAGCGTATCTGTATGTTAAAGCAAACAAACTAAGAAGACATCACCAGCTACTTAAAACTTTTTGGATTTAGAAACATGAGTCAAATTCGGATTAGGCATGAATCATGGCTGTAGCTTTAAAGGCCCACTGATCACCTCAATCAAGTCCCTTTTCCTCTGTCCTCAGTGTTCTCATTTGTTGACACTGGCTAAGGCGAAGGGGGTCAAGTTTTGCTATTTTCACTGGGCAGTGTCTACTAGGATGTGGAGAGAAGGGCGGGGCAGGGTAGGGCAGAGGCCACACGCCTGACGGGATCCAAACAGAAGTCAGTTCGCAAGGTTCTGCAGGCTTCAGCAAGCCGGTCCAGACTAATTACTGCAGCAGCCCCGGAACCTGCCCAAGTCAGAAGGTACAATGGAGGGCMGCTCGGCTGCACGCCTTCCCTTTCTTTACTCCTCGACTTTCTTACCTTCACTGCATACAACTTGCCGCCTTTCTGTCCCARGTACACTTTCCCGAAGGCGCCGCGGCTAATGGGCTTCATTATGGTGAAATCCTCAATGGAGGGTGGTCTTGGCACCGGGATCTTATTCACACATTCTCCTGTCGCCGCGCCTCCCTCGTTCTCTTCGCTCGGGGCGTTGGACTCCATCGCTGGACAGCTCAGATAGAGGAGGACAGGCGGCCAGGCGCCACGGCCTTTCCCAGCCGCAACTCCCGCCAACWGGGTTCAAAGTGAGGCTCCGCCCACACCGCACGCTGTCCGTGACGTCACCGCGCCACCGCGCCGTCCCGCCGAGTCCAAAGCAGCCCCGCCCTGTCACCTCCCTTAACTAAGTACAGTTGCCCAATGGGCGTGAGGTCTTGGCACTGGGAACACTTGAGTTCCGCACAGAARTTTCGAAGGCGGTGACTCACGGCCCTCTGACACATCTTGTTAGGAGGGAGGAAGTTCAAATAGCTCTGGCCAACAAGAAGAGGGACAACTGGGACTTGAATCTGAATCGCGGGATTTGAAAAGATGTCTCCCCGCCTCCCAACGAGTCTGCAAGGAACCTGCCCAGGTCTAGTCCAAACCTGCAATTTACCCCGCCCTTCCCGACCTGTTTGGTCTGTTCAGGAAAGCAGTGGCCCGAGATGACGTTTGGAAGCAGGGAAGCCACCGAACGTGTGAAACCGGATGTGCAGGAGGCGGGTAGCCGACACTGTTACCTGAATTTATTCACAAAATGTAATCTGCCTGACGGAAAGAGGCTAAGACCAAAAAACCAAAAAACCCCGCAAACCTTTTTAGCAACCTTCAGAACAATACGTTGGATAAGGAAGCTACAGAGAGCCTGAGAAAGGTTCAACAGGGTGCATGCTGTTCCCCCTTGTAAAAGTGGGGTAAACCCACGCTACAAACACTTATRGGATTCCGTTCCTTGCCAATATTCAGAGGCTCTGTGCCCGCAGGACGTGGTACTAGCTCACGTCTCTGAAAAGGCGGGGCGCCGATTTGCCCCGGAAGTACTGTTGCGTTAACGCCTTGCCTTCCGGGGCAGATTGCTGTTGTAGCAGCTGTAGGAAGGGGAGGCCATTTTCCGTTTCTGAGAAGCGTAAGGGGCAAAGGAAGGGAGAGACAGAGGGGAAAAAAGGGGGCTCAGCGCCTCCCTGCCGGGCCGAGAACGGAGGACAGTTTTGGCAGGCGGGAGAGGTCGCTGAGGGCCCGGAGATGTTTTCCCTGACGAGCACGGTGCAGCCCCAGGTGAGCCCTACTTTCAGCGTGTTTTTCTGCGGCCCTGCCCGCGGATGTTTTCCAGTTGCCTTCGTGGAATCGGTTTCTGGGAAGCGAACCAAGGGAGGAAAACGATTAGCCCACGCAGAGTCCCGAGGTTGAAAGTGGATCAGGGGATAACGAAGAGAGTAGGACCGGAGACTTGAAGGGCTGACAGCTAAGCATATGGGGTTCGAGGGGAGAGGCGCGGTATAAGCGTGATGGAGATCGGGGCTTATCGGATTGATTGCGTGGAATTTTCTGGTAGAGAATCCGTCATGCATTGTTCAGGGCCGGACATTCTGGGCTGGGGGTTGGGGAAATGTCTCCTCTTGGATGTAAAAGTAATGTTCTTTCCATCCTTTCCGAGCTCTCTTTTTTTTCTCCTTGCAAGTGAATTTATCCCAAACATTCTATAATAATTTGACTAACTACTTTTTTTTTCTTTTTGGTCAGAAAAAACTAATAAGTATTCTTTCTTTTCTTTGAGTACTGGGGATTGAACTCAGAGTCATTTGGCCAAAGAGCTACTTCCCCAGGCCTTTTTTCATTTATTTATTTTGATTCAGTGTTTCGCTAATTTGTCGAGGCTGGCCTCGAATTTTTTGGTTCCTCCTCTGCTTCACCCTCCCGAGTTGCTGGGATTACAGGGGTGATTCATCATGTCCAGTTTATGAATTTTGGTGTAGTTAATTTGCCGTTAAAGTTTTGATTTCAGCCTCATCCTCATATGAAACAAAAGTTAAGCCAAAGGGGGGAGAAAAATTCTAAAGGGTTTTGATCCTATTTGAAAGATAATCAGTTGTGACAATGTTTTGCCCTTTATTCACTTCAAAAAAAAWTTTTTTTTCTTTTGATGGCAACGTTTTCTCATTAAAGAATACTTTATTAGTTTCTGTAATCACACCCTCATAGATGAGACCATACATTTAATAACAGTATCTTACCCCTTTACAGAGAAAAGAAATAAGCTTAGCATTTCTAGACCAACATGACTGTTAATTTCTGAACAAGGCCAATTCAACAGGTGAACTGGGATACTTTTTCCAAAGTTGTCAAAAATTCAAATTACATTTAGAGATGTGTATGTTTATATAAAAAGACCAAGGATAGTAGTATGTTTTGAGTTATATTAAAAGACCAATAATAGCACCAACAGTTTTTCCATTGTCTGCAATCATTGAATAAAATTGTACTCTCAGTGCACTTCATTAGTGGTAACATTTTGATAGATTTGTTTATTTATTTATTGTAGTTATAGATGAACAGAATGCCTTTGTTTATTTTTATATGGTGCTAAGGATCGAACCCTGTGCCTCACAGATGCTAGGCAAGTGCTCTACCACTGAACTACACAGCCTCAGCCCCACATTTTGATAGATTTCTTTTTTCCTTTTCTTTCTTTCTTTTTTTTTTTCATTTTTGAGAGTGCTCAGAGCTTTGCAGACAAATATTTTTTTTTTGAGAACATTCAGATTTAAATTTTTTTGATACCTTTACTTTCTTATTTCAAGTATATGGTTGTGTTCCTTTGTTTAACTCCTCTCCCTCCTTTTTTTGTATGAGTGCAGTACTGGCTGAATAATAGAAAATGAAGTGGTTGGTTAGTTATTGGGCAGCAGAAGAACAAAGCAAATATGGAATTTTATCTTACTAGTGATATGAAGTAAAGATGATTAGGGAGTTAGCCAGGTGAACAGTGGACAAGATATTTCGAGATTAGAGGAACAAAAATAAGACTAGGTGGCTAGAGCATTAAAGATTAAGGGAAGGATTGCCAGAGATGAGATTGGAGAGAAGCCTTAAGGCAGTTTAGGGAGTTTGGATTTCATTTTAAGTGAAAACAGTTGAAAGGAACAATTGAAGGTTTTAAAACAATCACACACACATACACACCCGTATATGTATATGTGTGTGTGTATATATACACACTTTTTTTTTTTTTTTTTTGGTACCGGAAATTGAACTCTGAGGCACTCAACCTCTGAGCCACATCCCCAGCCCTGTTTGTATTTTATTTAGACACAGGGTCTCACTGAGTTGCTTAGGGCCTAAGTTGCTGAGGCTAGATTTGAGCTTGCCATCCTCCTGTCTTAGCCTCTGAGTCGCTGGGATTACAGGTGTGCATCATGGTGCCTGGCCTAGGTTTTCATTTTTTAATGAATCACTTTGCTGTCTTGCTTATGGAGAATATGAAGTGGCAGGAGTGGAATTATATTGCACTATTTTGGGATAAGGGTGTTGCTCCACTAAAGTTGTGGCAATGCTTGTAAAAGTAGAGAATTTTATTTGAACRAAGAGTAGAATTTCATGAGAGGTGGTGGAGAGAGGTGTTTCTGGTTTGATCAACTGAATACAGGAAGGTGCTATTTGCCTAGATGATAATTTGGGGAGGAGTCCTAACAATTGTTTTTAAAACAGGTCTGACTTGGCCTGCAGTTCTAAACTTTTTGAAACTAAACTCTTAGTTCACATCAAGAACTCCTGGTTTTGAGGGAATTTATGATTGRCTGGATGGAGAATTGGTGCTATGTGAAGTAGCTAGAGCTGGTGAAAGGATTTTGTGTGGTGTTGGCYTAACTGGGCTCAAATACAGGACCCTGAAGTATTTATGCTATGTAGGATTATAAACATATTTGGAATTCCTAGTTGCTTAGTTGGTTGAATACACTTGAATTTAAATATTAGAAATAGGGAAGACATAGCTGAGCTCAATCACTCAGCTCAATCTTTTGTTTTTTTTTTTTTTTTCCATGCTGAGGATTGAACCCAGGGCCTCCCACATGCTAGGCAAGTGCTGTATCACTGGTCTACACCCTATCCCTAAAATAAGCCTTTTCAAAGAAATAAGCAGATAATATATGTTTTTGTATTTGATTCCTATAGTTTAAAAGGAACTTACTGTTTCTGACTTCAAAAAATAATATTCTTCCAAAAATGCTGAAAGAAAATAAAGATCATCCATAATTTCAAGTTACACATTTTAGAATAAATTCCACCCCTTTCCCCCTCTTTATTAATAAGGGAATACATACTTAAAAATATTACTTTACAGTTTGCTTTATTCATGCAGTATCATAACATAAATTTATTTCTGTATCAATAGCTCTGAAATAAGAAGCCTTTTAACTGGAATTTTGAATCAGATACTTTGGGTTAGACTCATACTAATTGTTTGACCTTGGATATTAACCTGATCTATCTAAATCTTTGTTGTCTTCATCTATTAAATAGGAGGTATCTTAGTCTGCTGCTAAAACTGAATACTTTGAACTAGGTAATTTATATAAAGAATAGAAATTTATTGGTTCATAGTTCTGGAGACTGGGACATCCATTTTCAAGGTGCCAGAATCTGGCAACATGGTAGAAGATACCACATGATGAAAGGCATCATGTTAAAGAGAGGAAGAGGAGATAACCCACTGCTATGAAAACCTAACACCTTTTGAAGATTCTACCTCTTACCTAGTTAAAATGACAACCAAATTTCAATGTGAATTTTAGAGAGGACAAATATTCAAACCTTAACAAGAAGTGAAATAGTAACAATTTTTTATGACTCTTAGGAGGATTACACTAGATAACTAGAAGACCTGGTATATACTAAGAACCCATTTTGTTTATTCATTTACCCAACAAATATTTATTTAATGCTGTTGCTGTGTGTATTGATGTTACATAGGGATACAGTATTGAATAAAATAGAAAAAAATGAAATAGGGAAAATAATTTTTTGCCATTTGGTTATAGAATATGGTATAATGAAAAATACTTTTGTAGTTTTTGTAATCTTCCTGATAACATAGCTTCTAAAATTATTGGGATTTCATGAGTTATTAAAATTCAGGGAAACTTGTTTATCACATCTGTGTTTTTGCTAATAAAATGACTTCAATCTGTAAATAGCYTGAGGATGGCACTAGTCAGGGAAAGG